TTGTATCTCGAATTCATATCTATATATAATAATATTCACTAATATATAAGCTTAAAATATTCGCAATTTATATCTTAGATAGAGTCTCTCTAAATAGAATTTAGAAATTAGTTAAATAATCTAACAATAAGATGATGTAAATATAATACAATAAATATATGTATATAATAATAAATAATATAATAAAATAAATAACTTATATAAAATAATAAATAATTCAGTTTATATTACCTTCAAATAAGAATATTTGATAGCTCTTTTCAAGTGCGATGATATTTTTGCGTTTTCATTATTTATTTAATATAATTCATGCAGAGAGATTGTCTTATCGTAAAGCTAATATAATTATTGTATCGATAAATACTATATCTCATTTTGGCCATTACTGTACATACAAAATCGAAACTAATGCTATTCAAAAAGGTTTATTGCAAAATTGCCGATTTGACGAATCGTGGGATAAATAATATATATTATTCTTCATCGGCCATTTTTCTTTTTCTTTTTGTAAAAGAATACCTCTGCCGCAGAAATACTGATTATAATTGCTCTAACTATTCAGGTAGACAACTAGGTAAACTAGGTAATTCGATTTACACAGAAAAAAAATAAAATAGAATCATTTTTTACAGATAGATTCGGCGCCAAATGTTTCTGTCGATTAATTATTATAATCTCTCAAACGTTTAGACTTGGTTGCACCAACGTCGTGATTAATTAATCCCAGCTAAAATTTCTCGTCTATATTTGGACAGGACTTAAATAATCTAAAAAAAATTGCGAATTCGTTAATCCAGGAAACGACTCGATGCAACGTAGCCTAAATGTTCCTCGAACAATTCTATAAATAGATATACATATACACACATACATATAGCATTATACAATAAATATTATCTACACGACATTAATAACTTTGAGAAAAAAAATGATGCGACACTCTTTCTCGACAGAAATCGAAATATATCGATGATTTGAATGTGATTGTGTATAAAGTGCGCTTTTAAGAATTTTGATGATTATTTCGAGCTTTTCATTTTGCATAAAACAGATAAAACGTGAACGCAAAAAAAAAATCGCAAATACTACCCAGAATTGCAGCAATAATGGAGCGAGACAAAGACTCAATCTCCCTTTTTTTTAATCGCACTTCGCTAATAAAAGTGATTAAAGACCGAGGATAGAGACATCCTTGGAAAGCGTAATACATTATTAATTGTCAATATTATATTCGATACACTCTCTGCACTCATACATATACAATATACATGCATCTCACTCATCCCTCTCGATTGCACGCAGTAATTTGTCATAAACTATAAATCGTAGATTTTTTTTCTCTAAATCTGTGATACATACCTGCGTATGTAACGATATAGAATTAGTCGCGACGAAGATCAAACGAGACGACTTTCGTAATTAAATTAAATGTATTTTATGCATCAAGCTGTACGCATAAAATATCTAATGCCGTTTATAGATCGAGATCACTAGCAGTTGGAGGGACATCACAGTTTGATGAAGAATTCTTTCACGTGAAACTTCGTAAGAGAAACGACGCGATGAATAAATATACCGAAAAGGTGAATGAACTATATAAACTCCCTCTCTTTGACAATTCAATTCTCGAAGGAGCTTCACAATTATATATATAATACTTGATAAATTATTATTCTATCGCGATTATAACAAGATGAAAAATACGCAAATAAAAATATCCGTAGCAAGAAAAGTTCACAAAAAATTAATAAATAATAATTTAAAAAAAATATATAACAAAAATTAAATACTAATAAAATATTTTCGCAATTTATATAGTTCATCCTATACATTTCCTTTTCATTCTTGCCTAAAATAGATTTTACAATTAATCTTTGAGCCAATAAAAGATACGTCTCAACGATACGCTTTTTCCCTCAAATTTTTCTACATCGTAGAAATTGTTTTACAGTGATCGTAATCGACGAGAATCACTGCTGCAAAAGCTACTGAATTTACTGAGTATTTTCCGTGCTTTCCTTTTCAATACATTCTCAAACATACAGTATTTATTTTTTTTCTTTTTATCGCTAATTATAATATAAGAAACGCAATTATTTTATCTACACACATATTTTTTTATCGACAACACCTTCAACATATTTTATAAGTTTTTTTTTATTTTTCTTCTCATTTCCCGTCTCGCATATTCTACATTTGAAAGTGAAATTTTTACGGACTAAGCATAACACGTTTGCATAGGCCATTTTGATGTTTGGAAAAAAATGACAATTAAAGGAAAAAAATTAGAAACAATTATAAATGTTAATTGTAAAGAATAGAAATAGAGCAAAGTAGAGAAGAAATTTATATACGAAAAGTGGCGACCGCGCGAGTTTTACTTTATTCTTCCTTTTTTTTCACTATCAGATATACAAATTAAAATTATTTCTAATTTAATCTAATTTTTTTCAGAGCATAAGAGAATATATCTTTTACTTAACTTAAATATTCTTTCATTATTATAAAATCTTAATTTGTCTTATAGCGAGTTCGTTTTGTATCTCAAAATTATAATTTTGATGCATTGTTTAACGCAAGATACAAATAATCGAATCAATTTCTATTATTGTAAATAATGTTTGCCAGTTTTAACATTATATCGCAAAAACAACTGTGATATCTATAGAGTCATCGCAAAATTATTTATATTGTCGATCGAAAATGCAAATTTCCGTTTACGTCTGTAGTTATTAAGGATCTTTTTCTATATTTAAATGGCATTTTTGCAAAGTTATTTTAATATATGAGATCGAAATGTCGAGTTTATATACGCGAATCAATGTAATAATATAATGCATCACAAATCACTTTATATAATTTTCTACATTTTTGTAATAAATAAAGAAATTACTCGTGCACAATATATGCTACACAAATTATATAAAATAATAATAAATATATAAATTATAAATTGAACTAATGTTTAAATAATATTATATGTATATACTTAAATTATATAAACAGAAGAGAGAAAATACTGTATTCTTTACAAAATCAACTAATTAAAAAAAACATTCTGTTTTATAGAAAAAATGAAGTTTCTTTAGGAAAAAAATATAAAAAATATATAATTTAAAAAAAAGAAAATAAAATTTAAAAACAAGATTTCAGTAGATCATCAATGTTAAGGCTTAATATAATAGGCTTTCCTAACATTTCCTAACAACCCAGTAAACACATTGTTATAGCAATGTTACATAAGTACAACAGAATTAGATATTAGATATAATATTGCTATCAGAATTAGAGTTGTAATTTTTCGCTCTAAAATATAAAACGTAATATACATAATATTGTTCACAGTTACATATAAAATGAATAAATCACACAAACAAATAAATAAAATAAAACAAATAATAAATTATATATTTCATAAAGTTTTAATTTACACAGTCCCTCATTAATTTTTATCTACTTTATTATATCAGTATAAATATTTTTTTATTTATATTTATTAAATGCTAAATTTAAAAAAATTATATTACATAATTATAATTATTTTATTTCAAAATTTTTGATTTTATATATATATATATATATATATATATATACATATATTATAATTATTTAAAATTATTATAATTATAAATATATGATATATAATCTTTATAAAATAAATAATTTTTAAAATAATATAATTTTTATAATATAATTCGGATAGAGAGAGCCTTTCTTTTTTACTTTTATAAAATAATAGATTTTTATTTGATAATTTTTTAAATGATTCTAAGAAATATCAGAAAGAATATTAATTTTGTCTTTTAATATATACAATTTTAATTCATGTGTGGATAACTCACGTTATATTATTTGTTATTTTATCATTATTGTTATATCACTGCAACAGTGTTTACTGGAATATGAATATTTTCACATGTTAGGAAACCCTGTATAAATCGAAATGTACATATATTATTAAAAAAAAGTATCGGAGAATTTCTTGATTCTTTGTGCACCACATCACAATATATTCTTTTATATTCGATATCCAAATTTTTCTTATATTTGATATATTTATTAGCTCCGGTTTTAAAATTTAAAAAAAACCCCGATCAATCTCAATAGCAAAAAAAAATCGCAAAGATTGATTAATACCCAGATTATCGTTTCTCGACTCTGAACGGTACACGCAGTCGCGATGACAAATAATAATATAATAATACACAGCCTCTTCATGCGCGACCTGTGATAAGTCGTCGCATTTGTGAAGAGGACACGTGGAAGGATTCCTTGTACAAGATTCGTGCGAATATGATTTTCTCGTGTATACATAAATGAGCGCACATCAAAAAATCTGGTGATGCATATCGCGAGTATTCATGGATACACAATCTTCTACCATCCATTTCCTATTATCAATATTACTATTATTATTTCGACAGATCATCGTAGAATCTCATCTGCGTAGCAGACTCAAATGTAATCAATCAATGATAGAGAGAGAGAGAGAAAAAGAGAGAGAGAGTCTTCTCAAAAATATTTCAAAAATAAATAGATGTTACGATGCAAAGATGTGTAAATGATAGATGAAGTATCAATGAAGAAATATTGCCTATCGCATATACCGAGAACAATGATCGTTAATTGACTAACTAGAAGATTAATCATTGCAAATGAACACCTAAGTGTGGTCGATCGTCTGTTACCTTGCTAACGATACTTTAATCAAGCAAAGTATTTTACTATTTCGGATTCGAACAAAGTGTTGCGATTTCGCGAAAACAATAATGTCGTCATTCGATCGAAAGCCTAATCTCTCGCGGCAATAAACGTTCGTGAATACTGAATAAATTTAACGATAATTTGTACTACAACAAAGAAGTATGGCCTATTTACCGAACAATGATCGTTACTCGGCTAGCTAAAAGATTAATCCTTGCAAATGAACACCTACTGTGGTCGCGCGATAGTTTGTTACATTATTAACAATCAAACTGATAGTGGGAAATATATAAGATATATATATACGCATCCCACAAATTGAATCCAAACTTATCACCTTTTCTTTTTGTTTTTTTTCCTCTTTTTGTCACAATTTAAGGCAGTCAAATCGAAATTGCTACACAGGAGTTGCCAAATATATAGTTGCGATAAAAGCGCTACCTCTCCTTCTCCCTTGTTAATTCTATACCCCATTAGAATTAACGTCGAGAAGTCGTTTTCTAATACAACATCCACTAGAACACAACCTTGCCCGCCACACATTGCCCTAACGCTTTTTATTCGTTTGTGTTCTTGTGAGAGATAATGATTGCTAAAACGGTATCTTTCTATAATCAGAAATAAGTTATTCGTCAAACTTGCCGCAAGAACGTGCCTTTTTTTTTAAATAAATGACGCAAACGAGAGTAACATACACATATATACCTACGTAACGACATACATATAACGACACGCTCTCAACTTTTCTCTTACAAATTTTCTAGCGATTCAGTATTGCCGCAGTCATTTAAAATTATATAATATATTCGGAAAAACTCAAAGATATATATATATATATATATACATATTTTTTTCTTGAAAATAAACGGCGGTTTATATTCCTCGAAAGCGAATTTGAAGAGAAGAAGATGGCCCCCGTCGTTATTGTAGCGAAAAACACACGTCGATCGCGCTGGCCGATGCAAGGTTGCACTCTTGCAAGGTCAACGCACAATCACAGTTCGAACTCTGACAATTTCCCTCCCCTCTCCCTCCCCCTCTCACATACGCGGGATATTAATCTACTCCCGCTACTTGCATCAGAAGTATGTAGAGGGCAAGGCTCGCCCTAGGCACGTCCATGCAGCAATCCTCTACTCATCTGCGCTTTTTCCTCTTGGATCGGTTGCTCGTTTTCTTGGCGGTGGTCGACGAGCTCTCCGTCTCGCTTCGCTTTTCGGCGTGCTTCGGATGGCAGGACACGTCAGATCCCGGATCTTCGGGCACCGAGAGAGTCGGAGTCGCCGGGTTATTCCGCTCGAGGTCGCCCTCCGTCGTCGTCTTCTGCTGCTGCTGCTGTTGCTGAAGCGCCGGCTGAAGCTGCAAAGAAGATTCTCTTTGCGATTCTCTCCTCTCGGCTGGCACGTTACCTCGACGTGTCTTGTCGACGACGGATCGTACTTCCGGGACCGGAGGAGACTGTTCTTTCTTATCCTCCCCATCCTGATGCGACGTCTTGGCTCGCGTCAAAGTAACACCCACGAGATCCTTGTCCGCGTGAGGCTCTTCGTCTATCACCGGTGAGGGAAGATCTATGAGAATAGTCTCTTCCACCGTCGTCGTCCTCGTCGTCGTCGTCGTCGTTGTCGCCGTCGTTGTCGTCGTTGGTGTTGTTTCGTCGACGTTATCATCGCCCTTTTCGCCCAGCAGCTCCTCCTTTTCCTTCTCCTCGACTTTAAAGGCTCGTCGTCGCGCGCTCTCGTGCTTGTCTGCCCCGGATTCGAAGAACGGGAGATCCTCCCTGTTGCAAAATTCTAGAATTTTGTTCTTCAACTTCCTCGCGTGCTCGCCGACCTCCGTTTTCTCCTCTACCTCGATCAACGGCTCGAGATCCGTTTCCTTGCAACCCTCTTGCGAATCTGACAAGGAGATGCTCTTCTTCACGATGGAACTCCACGATATCTCGGTCGAGGGAGGGCTTTGAGCTTTCTGTTCCTGAAGACTCTTGGAAAAGTCCACAAATGACTCGTCCTGCACAGCCTCTCGCAGATCCGCCATTTTCACTCTGGAGGAGCGGAATGAAGGCGGATGAGCGGAAGAGGAAGAGAGGGAGAGAGGCTCCGTCGAGATATTTTCTTGAAACTGGCCGTCCGCCTGCGACTTCTTACTCTTGCGAGATTTTCTGACTCGCGTTCCGGAAGCAGCGGGCAAAATCTTGCACTCCGGCGTTGGGTCAGCGTCTGTGTCGGCTCTTTGCATCGCATCGAGATCGATAATCTCAACAATATCGCTGGCAACAGAGGCCTGAAAAGCCCGCTTACCAGATAACAATGAGGAATTCGCTGTCGTTTTCGCGACACGACCTTTGGCCCTTCTGGTCGGACTCGTTCCCTCTGGTTTGTCCTTGAGATGATCGGCGAGGCTATACTTGTCGGCCGCCGCCTCCTCCTTCAGCCAAATTTCCTCCAGCGGATTGTATATTACGGTGATCTCCGCGGTCTCCGGGTCACCTTTTTCAATCACCATGATATCCTTTCGTTTCTTGCTCAGTTTGGACTTGGTTTCTTGCTGCTCCGTTTCCTGCGGAGAGGAACTCATCGCGCCGAGTTCCAGCTCGCAGATCTCCGAGAGCTGGACGTGTTCCAGATCATCATCGGATGACAGAGCGTGCTTGCTCTGCCTTCTACGCGAGCTTCTGTCACCGCAGGTCTTCGTCGCAGACTTGGTCGCGTAGGTGACGTCAGCCAGAGTCGCGGAGTCGAGGCCACTGAACTCGGCGCTGTGTATGTATTCCAGGTCGTCGTCCGAGATCGTGCTCTTGCTGCTCTTCCGCTGCTCCACCGGGGAGAATGATTGCGCGACCATGGCACCAAAAAGCGCGTCGTCTCCCCTGCACTTATCGTCGCCCGCGTCGATCCTCGCGCGCATCAGCGTCACCTCGGACGCGTGGATGTGCTCGATGTCGTCGTCGGATTGAGTGGCCGTGGAGGCAGCGTCCTTGCACGGCTCCACCATGTGATACTCGATGGAATTGAAGTCGTCCAACGGCGGAGGATCCAACGGCGGTAATTCGTCATCGTCGTCTTCAAGTAGTAGTTCCGTTTTTCCCGATTTCGCAGCGAGTTTAACAAGATTCTCCTCCTTCGTCGATTCGAGCGTGGGTTCAACGAAGGATTCCGCTTTTTTCGCGCTTTTAAATTCCTTGCTCTCGAACGTCGCTGCTCGATCCTCGTCGAACAGGTCTCGCGGAGCGCGACTCTTCCATCTCCCATTTTTATGCGTCTGCGTTGCCTCCCCGTGCTTCTCTTTCGCAATCTTATAAACATCTTTCGTAGTTTCAGCCTTCTTCTTACGAACCTCGTCTCTCTCTCTTTCCGTAAAAACACTCGGATCCGCGCATCCGGATTCAACCGGAGGATGTTTCTGCGAGGTGGATGTTTCTTTCTCGGAATCGACGATCGACCTTCTCGCGAAGGACCTCTTAGCCCTCTCGTCCGCGCTCGCGGACTGCATCGACTCGACCACATTCCTCTCGCCTCGCATCGTCTTGTTCTCCATCAGCGTGACGCTGTCGTCGTCGTAGCTGACGACGTACTTAGCCTTGGCCAGATGTTTCTCGAGATGAGCCTCGTGAACGTGATAGTCCTCGACACGCCTGTCGCCGGCGGATCTGCCAGCTGCCTTGCTACACCACATCGCGGTCTCCTTTGCGTGCGTCATCGGGCTGCTCGGGATCTCGCCCGGTTCGGCGCACAGGCTGAGACTCGTGGGCACGTCGCGGAACGCGCCCTCGCGCTCGTAATCGATCGAGGTCGACGTCATCGTCGCCATCTCCGCGCATAGGGCGCGACGTTCCTGGAGCTCGCGAATATTCTCGTCAGGCACGCTGTCGATCGCCGTGGGCTCGTTGGCGGCCCGCATCTCCGCGCAGATTTCGGTGTGCTCGCAACTCAGCGTCCGGCTCTCCGGCACGTCCGGGAGATGATCGGCCGCGCCGAGCGAGGCCGGGCCTTCCTCGGCGCACACGCTTCTAGGCGCGTGGATCTCCTCCGGAGCGGAGTCGTACTCCTGAACGGAGCTAATCGAGTCCTCATCCTCGTCGGCCGACACGGTAATCACGGTGCCGGTGTGAGGGTTGACGACTTTAGTTACAGGCTGACCCACCCTCTCAATTACCGTACGCCTCCCTAGTAACAGAAAAAGCCGTTGGCAGGTATCAATATCACGAATAGCTGCTCACAAGTGTCTCTTTCTCTCTCTCTCCCTCGCTCTCTCTTAAGTTTCTCTTTTTTTCCCTTTTCTCTGATTTATTACAAGATAATTAGCTCGCATGCTCGCTCGGGATTGTGTTATCGCACGAAAAATCGTCAAGATTCAAAGAAAAAAATATGTAATGCGAACGAATAACTACGGGAGTCGGTGCTCGACGTAATAATCTCGAGCATCCCGACGATAAGTATGGATAGAAAAAAAAGCCGTTTAATCTCCCTTTTTTTCCTTCTATCGCATTCCGCATTTGCATATACTCCGCGTGCGTGTATCGATAAACACGGAAACAAAGTCAAGACAAACTTAAGAAGAGAAACACATCCGTTCGTATTTGTAATTTGCAAAACAATCTCTCTCTTTCTCTCTCTAATAAGATGTACACAAAGCTAAAAGCTCGAGCAAAATGTGGTGAATCTACATGGTTAGTATACAAGACAGTACATAATTCTGTTTTTTTTTGTTGAACGGTTCTTTTTTTGTACTTTCTTTTCCTCTTGATATAAAGAGCAGACCTCAACGAGACAAAAACTATATATGCTGTTAGTGCTCAAATAGATAATACACAGTTACTGGGACAAAAATGAAGATACCTGCCTCTGGCCAGTTCTGTATCCACGCAACTTAATGCTAGTGTGATTTCATCATTCTTTGTTAAACATATACATAATAGGAAATATATTGTAGAGAAAAAGGAAAGATTTGTTCATCATTTTCTCCAATTAGGATTATTTAAGATTTCCCAATGTGCTTGTGACGTAATGTCGTAGGAAAACGTCGGTAATAATTATCTCTTTTGAGAATCTTATTTATTTTTCAATATTTCTCGTAAAGAGCGACAAGTTGTAATCACGTCAAATTACGTGCTGAATATCACGTTAAATTTCACGCGAATATATTAACCCTGCAAACTTTGCGAGCTTGAATTCAAATGCATAATATATATATATATATATATATATATATATATATATATATATATATACAATATATATATATTTAAGAATGCACATTATATATAAACATATAAATATATAAGATTTTCAAGAATTATATTTACATTGTTTAAAAATTATGCTTGTTTAATGAAATACAACAAAAATATATTTTACAATCAAACATAAAAATGAATATATGAGTATACAGTGTGGTAATGTAGAATGCAGGCAAACTATAAGTAAGGAACAATAAAGATAAAAATAACAAAATATAACAAAATGCTCTGTTAAAATATCTTGTTCCACAACTATCACGATTATGCTAGAGTTGAAAATGATTCTCCATTACCAGAAATAAAAAAAATTGTAGCGCAAGTTAAATTATATACACACAAATATACGCAATATATATTCAACATATACAAATATTTGTATAAATTGCACGGATATACTATATATGTGCAGGTATTGACTCGGTCGCTTCGAGAGATACATCGATCAACGAAGTGGACCTGCATTCATTCGTAAATTTGGTGCTTTTTACTACAACGTAAAACTCCGTAATTGAGTAATTGCACACTTACCTGGGGCACGATGCGACGCGATGGATATCTCGAGCATAGCTTCCGCGAGATCCTCTCTCAACTGACTCTCGCAACTGCCAACGGCTACGTTCTCGGTATCCAGAGGATCTCCGTAAGCCTCCATAAATCTCGGCGATTGCTCGTAGCTGCCTGTGTACAAAAAGTCGAATAATAGATTTTATTTCTTTATAGATAATCGGTTTATTTTTTTCCAACAATATTCGATTACTATCGACACACTTACTTCCTGACCCGTCGATGACAACTGGCATCAATGGTCTGGATGCTGCATGGGGCATATTAACGGGCTTCGATCTCGCTGGTCGTGATCCAGTAATTCCAATCTCGACCGCTTCAGCTTCGACCAAATTAACAGCGACACTAGTGAAAATTAAATCTTCGTTAAATTGGAAGAATCGCGATTAATGGTTGAAAGATTGAAATAGAACCAACCCGCTAGGTGCGTTGTAAGTTTTAAAAACGAACTGTGGTCCCATCCACAGTCGCCTGTGCGGTCCAGCGTGTGTCACGATCTCCACTTGACTCAGCCAACGATCCTCGGCCGTGTCAAGTTCTTGGTTGTTCTTTGGTGCGAACGTGACACTGAGTAACGGGTTGGACAGAGGCAACGGTGGAACAAGTTCCACAGAGTTGGGGACTCTGCAAAGCGGCCACTGGCCCTTCGCTTCGACATCCAATTCGATCATGGTATCATCGCAGACTTTTTCCTTTGGTACTCCTGAAACGAAAGCGTTAGATAAGAAGGAGAAAAAGAAATAAAGCATAATATTCTATGTGCATTTTTTTCTGCAACGTACCAGCAACTGGTTTAGGTTCCAAGTCATACTGTATCATATTTCCATGACATGCCATGATGAATAAGGAATCAACTGCTCTCTTGACAACCTTGCTGCTGGATTCTCTCTGTGCATATATCCAAGCTCTCGGCGGAGCGAAACACGCGCAAATTTTCAACGGTAGAGTCCCGCTATCATCCGAATGTAGCCGTTGCCTCTGCTGCGGCCTACAACTTTAAAAATATACGGTATTTTTTAATCACATTTTTTATTATTATGCCCGATTGTTCTCAATAAAATTAGTTCTCTGCGAAATTGATAATTACCTCGGCTGCGACGAGTTGTTGACCTGATTTAAAGACGATGGCTGCCGAATCTGCGATAGGGGATGTAATATCGTCGGATGAGGATATGGTGGAAGTCTCGGATTCGAATACGGATATATGGACAAGGGTAGCTCCGCGTGAGACACCGGAGAATGAGATCGGGTACCGTCGTCCGTCAAACCCGCGCTCTTGTGAAATCTCGATAGCCTGTTGACTACGTGAGGCGTGGAATGCGTTCTGACACCAACAGAACCTCCATAAGGCGCAACAGGAAAAACATGCGTGGTACCTCTCACAGTTGAGACTGCAGCCCAGCGTGCATCACTCGAGAATATCATGTCCTGGCGCAAACATATAAATAAATATTGTTTCCAAATGATGAAAACATCACTCGATAAAAAATAAAATAATAAGAAAATAACATTCAAAAGTTTTTATTATACAATTATTTAATATTTGATTAATTTTTCAAATATATTAAAATAATTTATTTTTATTTGAAAGAAAAATAAGAAAATGTAAGTGCAAGCCAGAAGTACAACTTTTAGTAATTTTCTATTAATTAAATAATAAATTAAATAAATATATATATATATATATATATAAAATAAATATAAATAAATATAATATAAATAATAAACAATAAAATGGTTTAGATACAAGAAAATTTGATAGAGTAATTTATCTTTTTCACTGTTTGTAAATTAGGAAGCGTCGACATTGTATCATTAATATCATTTGAATAAGATAAGCAATTGACTTGTAAACAGCAAAAATGGTAAAACATACTTGCACTTTTGCGGTAGTATCACCACGATGCAAGATATATAGATGATGTACCGCTGCCAATGTCGGTCCACCGGGATGCGGCTGAATTCTGAATACATGAAAGTCATGTCCCCTCTTGTCGGCTGTCATTAATAACGCGCCGGTCAAATCGAAGGTCATGGCAACGATCGCATCGCTATGGGCAGTAAAATGAGCGATTACAGCCTCCGCGTTAGCGTCGTCCAACTCCTTCTCGTCCCTCGCGATCTGAAGATCCAATATCGTGACTACGCCCGGTTGCGTCACGTCGTTGCCCGCATTATTGACGGTCATCGGCGACACCGAATTCCCAGTCAGACTCGAGGCTACGGTTTCTCCTAATCCGCGAAGACCTTTACCCAGTGACTTCGCTGCATATAAAACTGTCGCTGTGTAACTCTGCACGCCCTCTCCCTCGCAACCGCCGCTGCTTCTTCTCGCGGGTATCAATCTTTTCTCGCTGCAAGCATCACCAAGGACGATTATTTAAGTACGGACAAAATGTACAATCTTTAATAACTACGTTAATGTACGCGTAGAATAAAATTCCGTACCTGTAAGCGAGCCACCGTGTTCCTAAAGCGACAGGATTTGGATTTGGGCCAGGGCTGGCGTAGCAGGTAGTGATTGTTATATTATTTTGCAATGTTCTGGCATCGAAGACCGCAATTTTTTCTAATAATGTTACGACCACGGACCGCTTGTTAGCCAACACGTCGCAGACAGGATTCTTAAATCCTACGCTATGCACCGGCTCGCCGGTCTTCAAGGAGATGAAATTGACATCGCAAAATTTTGGTCCCGGAAGAGTCGAATCCGGCTCGGAGCAGACCGCTACCATCGGCCGTTTCGCTTCGAATTCGTCGACGTGTTCATCAGTCTTTGGATTTGGTAGAATTCGAAGAGTACGAATCACGCCCTGCCGCCATGATAGAATTTCCGTTGCCTCTCCCGTCGCTGCTATCAGCCATACCTGATATAATTTATAATTCAGTCATTATCGCATTGCATTGAATATATATAAATTCAGATTGCAAGAAAAAAAAAGGAAAAACAACATCAGACACATCAAACGTTTAATAAGTTGCTATATAAATTTAAAATTAACATAAAAATCACTCACCTGAACACCAACTGTGTATCCTAGCACCAGTAATAATGGTGGCGTACTAGAACCTTCATTATAATCAGGATATAAAGTGGGGTCATTTATATCCGCATATTCAAATCGCGCCCATGATATGGTTTCCTTATTATCAGAGTTGGATGCTCCGGCGTATCCCTGTAAACAATTAGAACAAAAAATATTAAAGATATTAATATAGATTATACGATATCTAAAAAATCTTACATAATTAATGCATACCTGTGGTACTATATCATTAATAATTCCAGCAACACTATCAATAATCGATCGATCAACTATGGGTTGAGGTGAAACAACTTGAGCTCCTTTATGCACACCTCGTCTTGGTGATTCCGCAGACATTTTTTATTTTCAAATTAATTTTACCTACCTGTAAAATTAGTACAATATTGCTACTTGTTACATAAAATATATTAATTTCTAGTATATTCCAAATAAACTATTAAAAGATAGTATCTACAAATTAAAAATAATTGCTTTAACGCAGAAACATTGAAAATATTTAAAAATAAAGAAATTATGGACAGATAAGCGATATACATATATGTCATTAAAAATGTTCATACGTTAAATTGTATAAGAGAGAATTCAATTTATGCAGTAGACATTTTATATTTTATTGCGCTTCAAAAATGTTATTCTTAACAAATTGGAGAAAGCTGTTTAGAAAAAGCGATTGTTACATTTAAAATCTCGCTTTACGATTGTCAATTCAAGGAGCATGATATAAATAAATTGTCGCAGAATTCGCACACTGTCCAAAGTTTGACGTTCGCGATTATTATTATATGTATTATACGACGTTTGCAACAATATGTGTATATATATATATATATATATATCGACAAGAGGCAAAGAGAAACGAACGAAGAGACAAAGGAAGGACAACACACTTGAGTGCCCTTGTCTACGCGTCTCTACGTAAACGTCGAACTTCGGAATGTCATGACGAAAGAGAGAGAAAGAGAAAAATAAAAAAACAAACAAACAAAGGAAAAACAATTATTGCTCGAACACGCGAAGAGGAGGGGGAGCAGCGCGAATTTTTCCTCTTTTTACGCAGCGGACAAAGCACAAAGAAACAAACGCGATACCGAATCTCCGTTTTCACACAATCCTCGCGCGGAGGAGGACAAAGAACCCTCGTCCAAGGTGCACCGCCACGACTCGGAGCTGCCCGACTTGGCGAGGACTCATGGACATTTTACAGCTCGTCGCGACATCGTCCTCGTCGTCGTCGTGGGATCACTAGCACCAGGCACTAAGTCGTCGTCATCGACGACGAAACTCCGTGGAGCGTCGTCGTCGTCACGCGATGCATTATTCAACGCGCACGAAAAGTGGGAAAGTGCATTGGCTAGAGTCGGTGGCAGTGTGTGTTGACGGTGCGGGAGGGAAAGGAGGAGAAGAGAAGAGGAGGGGAGGGGGTAATCTATTTTGCCAGCCGAGGTGGGAGAGAGAGGGATGCGTGTTATTGCACAACGTAGGCACACAGCTGTGCGCGAATGGAATGTGCGTTCAGGGACAGTCGTCGAGAAAGTCATGAACGGAAAGGAAGAGGGATATCAGTCGAGGACGGGTGTATCGCTTTTATTAAAAAAAAAAAGAAAAAATACACAGGATGACAGCAGGGGACTGTGAAGTCGGAGGGAGAAAGAGAATACATGTATATACTCCGATTTGATACGACGAACTGTTTACGCAACCGCGTTAAAAAAAGCGACACGAGCGCGCGAGATGAGCTTCCGCTGTTCGATTTCGCACAAATCCCGAACGGCACAACAGAAAATATTCAGAGTAATTATTATGACGTCATTTTGACGTCAAAATAACCCTAACAGCACACAGACGAAGACGTTCAGAGAACATCCTCAGGATGTCCTCTGGATATCTTTCGGACGCGTCGTGCTATTAGGGAACGCAGTTTGACATCTAAATGTCAAAATGATTACTTTTGCTATCTGTATCAGGGATATTATGGGGAGGGAAAGAGGGAATATTCTTTTGATCGATTCGTGACTTACTTCACCGCGAGCAGCCTTCTCCGTGTTTTTTCATCGTGCGCGAGGAGAGAGATAGAGAGAAAGGGAGAGAGAGAGAAAGAGAGAGAGAATGCACACTCCGCGCACTATCTTCGTCCGTCTATTGCGTCATTCCGCGAGCGACTGACAGCCCAGCGGACGACGGTGGCCGATGATGTCACGCCGCGCGCGCGAAAAACGTCGATCCTCGGACACTTCTTCCCCTGGGTGGAGAGACGCGCTACGTCTCCGCCGAGCCTTCGTCAGAGCGAAAGACACGCGAACTGTCAACGACGACACGCACGCACGCACGAGCCATCCGAGTCTCGGAAGACGCGCCTCCGCCCTTCGTCCGCACGGAGGATCACGGAGATCTCTCGAGAGCAACGCGAAATTCGCGGCCGCGGATTCGTCACTGCTTACATTACAGCGTATCTCTATATATGTATATATATATATACCTATATATATGTGCGTGTGTGTACCATGCGCCGACGTCGCGCCGCGCCACTGGACCATCTACTGCTTCGTGTGTCGGAAGAACGAAAACAATAATCAGCTGATTCGGTGATCGGTGGCAGGGGAATCGGTCGCGATCGGGAAGACACGAGCGCCCTCTTCGTTCGGAGAAGACTGGGGGTATGTATGGACTGGGTATATTTTTTTTTATATATTATTTCAGATTTTTTCTTTATAATTATCACGACGGATTTCCTCTTCGATTTTTTTTCTCAGATGTGTACATTTTGCGTTTGCATCGGAGAAACGATTTTTTTAGCTTCCTCCCTGAGAAACAGAAATAGCAATTTATTAATTAATATTTATAAGACTTAATTATAATTTCTAATGATGTCTTATGAATTTTTAAAAGACTATAATTATAATTTATAATTCTTATAAAAATATATATCACTGCGCTTATATTTATTTTTTATGTATTATACATATCTCTTATACTTTTGCATTTAATTTTTTTTCTTTTCTTTGCTTATTTTGTTCTATATTATAATTTTTTTCAAAATATATAGATATTTATTAAAATAATAATGATATTTTTTTATTTTAGTTGAATGATGGATGTTGAATTAAACTTTCTTTTCCATTTTTTAGAATTGCAGCACATCTTTGATATCCTTTCCAGAATCAGACATGTTCCTAAATCATCGAAATCTCAACTTCTAGAAATAGGAGACCTGTGACGAGATTGGACAACTGTGGGAATGATTTTGAGAGAGAAGTGGATTTGAATATGATTTAAAGGAAGGAGACAGAAGAATTATAATGTTAATTAATGGATCCTCCATTTACGCTGCATCAGAAACTAATCAGAATGTTGACTTGCTTCAATTTCATCATATTAATTACACTAACACACATCGTTGCAGCACGTCCGAATTTTTTATTGATTATTGTGGATGATCTGAGGACCACCTTGGGATGTTACGGCGATATTAATGCATACACGCCGAATATAGATGCCTTGGCTAAGGATAGTATCGTTTTTACTGAAGCATTCGCTCAGGTATATCTTTTGAAATAATTTATTTCAAATATTCAGTCTTATTTTTCATTTTAAAAAATAATTGAATTTTTCGTTGCAGCAAGCCTTATGCGCGCCCAGCAGAAATTCATTCCTGATTAGTAGAAGACCAGATACTCTTCGGCTTTATGATTTTTACAGTTATTGGCGTGATAAAGTCGGTAATTATACCACATTGCCGGAGCATTTGAAAAACAATGGATACACTACAATGTCCATAGGAAAAGTGTTTCATCCAGGTGGAGTAAGACATTTTATATATTTTTTGTTCTTCTCCATATTTAACATTAAATCTCTAGTATGTTATTTTATATTTGTCTCATATTGAGAAGATATCATCTTGAATTCAAAAATCAACAACTTAGTGTTAAAATTGTTATATGAATAATGCAAATTATGACTAATATGAAAAAAATACATACATACACATTGCTTTACAAGTACATATATTTATTATAGGTATAAGTTCTAATGGATCCGACGACAGTCCTTATTCGTGGACCGAGAAGCCTTTTCATCCATATACAGATCGGTACAAAAATGCTCCCGTTTGTAAGACGAGCCCGCAATCGGAAGCAGCGACGAATATTGTAATAATATATATGCAATATGAGATATTTGTTCCATGTGTTTACAAATTAAGTACACGAATCTATTATGGATATTATATATATATATGCTTATAGGTATGTCCGGTACGTGTATCAGCCATGCCAAATAAAACATTACCCGATATCGAGACTTTACGAGAAGCGAGAAAATTCATACACGAGCATAAAAAAGACGACGATCCCTTTTTCCTAGCTGTCGGCTTTCAAAAGCCCCATATACCACTAAAGTATCCCGAACGCTATCTAAGTAAGTATACATCTTACCGATAATAAAATTAGATCACATTTTCTTTTTACGATGGAACTTTTCCGATAATACTTTACAGAATATCATCCTATACGGAAGTTCAAAATGCCCGAGTCGTATCTGTGGCCGGATAACGTAAATAACGTCGCTTACAATCCCTGGACCGATCTACGATGGAGAAGAGACATAGCAAAATTGAGATTAAAATTTCCATGGGAAAAAATACCAGGTATGTATATATATCTCGATCGATATATTTATTTATTTTATATTTATATAAACGTATATGTGCACGCATCTACATTTTTCCTAATCATTTCCCAATTATCATTTAAGAAAAGTATGGGAAACTAATTATCCAATCATATTATGCAGCCGTTTCTTACGTCGACAATATGATCGGCAAGCTTATACATCAGCTACATGTCTCGAGGATTCGAGATAATACTATCGTAATATTAACATCCGATCATGGTAGGTATTATTTTTTTTTCTTTTCAATCGATGAAGTAAAATATGCCATGCAATTATATATTAAAATTCTTAGATGTTCACCGCATGTCAGATTTTGATGTCAGACGCGAGCACACGCTGAAAATTCTTATAGCCATTTTTAAATGAAAAGATATTTCGATGAAACACTGTACTTCAGATGGCTTTAGCACATTTTTAACATACCTGGGAAACTATTCTTTTCTCTCGACAGTCTTATATTACGGTCATTTTACAGCTTGATTGTTTATAAAGGGAAAAGAATAGTTGACGAGGTATTTTAAGAGTGTACTAAAAAAACCATCTGAAGAGTTGTTTCATAGAAATATCTTTTTATTTCGAAATAGCATCTAAGAATTTTTAACGTGTTTTCTCGTCTCTGACGTTACAATTCCAACACGGTCAGTAAGGAGCCAGAAGCCTTAATATAATTTAACATTAAACGTTACAGGTTGGGCACTTGGAGAGCACGCTATTTGGTCTAAATATAGTAATTTCGACGTTGCTGTACACGTACCTCTGATAATATCGATTCCGACAGTCACGTTTGTTACTAATGATGATAATTACGCTATAAGATCTATGGGTCGTACGAGATATGATACAACGCAGATTACAAATTATGATAAAATAAGGAATAAAACAGATTCGGAGTACATGATATTTGATGAAAAAAACAACGGCGTTTGGAGAAGTACAAATTATAATACAAGCGTGTATAAAAGAATTATCTCGGAGACATATGAGGTTCGACAAGGATATAATATATCTATGGAGAGCAGCATGTTATATAGTTCTAGAAAGCTGAAGAGCAACTACTGTCGAGTTACGAAATCTCTCGTAGAACTCGTCGATATATTTCCGACCATCGCGGATTTGGCGGGTGTTCCCGTGCCAATATGTCAAAATAATGACGATAGAAATCATCTGCGCTCGAAAAATATTCCTATTTCTCGGAAGAAGGTTTCCGATCCTTGTAGCGAGGGTATTACGCTTTTACCACTCATAGAAAGTACGATAAGATGTCAGGTAAGGCATGTGTTTGTTTTTTATTCCAAGTATTATTATTTTCTTTTGTACAAAACAAAGATTCATCTATCTCTCTTGTACATTTTGCAAAAATTTTGCAGAACGTATCTTGGAAAAGAGCGGCCTTCAGTCAATATCCGAGGCCAGGAATACAGCCTACGCTTCATCCCAACAGCGATAAGCCTCGTTTGAAAGAGATAACTATAATGGGTTATACTTTGAAGACCAACGATTATCGTTACACAGCGTGGATACCATTTGCACACGAGACATGCAAACCAGATTGGGACATTATTATCGCAGAGGAATTATACGATCACAGAACTGATCGGGCGGAAGATTTTAATTTAGCAGCCTCACTGAAAATGTTAAATACAAAGAAGTACCTTAGATCGTTGTTAAAAAAAGGATGGAGAAACGCTCTTCCAAGATACTAAAATGCTTAGGATATTTTCACTTTATATAAAAAACCATGTTTGATATCTCTATCTTAAATATTTATGAGATTTATCTATCTGTGTGTATATATATATGTATGATATATAATCAAATTATTTCATTAAAACAAGTTATTAACATAATTATTAACAATTAAAGAAACAAATATGTTTTATGAATGCTTTCATTCTATTTGCCAGAAAAGGTAAATAAATAAACAGAATATTTTTGTGTATGTGTATATATCTATAAAAATGTTTGGAAAATAGATATTCTATATATACACATCTAATAAATAAAGAAATATATATAAGAAAAAGACCAAAAATGGATTAAGATGGATTAAATATACTTTAACAATGGATTAACAAACTGTAAAGTATATGTGCGCTTTCCTAAACATGCCTTATATAAATTAAAGCCTCATTTTGCGAAGAGCTTGCGATACATACATTTTCAGATGCATTTGACTACATTATTTTGCACTACAGTTTGTACATACATATTGAAACTAATAATATATAATCGAACTTAATGTAAGAAAACATTCTTTTTTTATATCGTATATATATTGTATAGGAATCAATACGTAATATATAAATAATATCTTCGTATACGACTTGCATTTCGCTTTTTATGGTGTATCAACTTCTATATCACTTACCAATATACTGCATAATTCACGAATTATTAGTGTAGGAATTCTACTCCTCTTGATTCTTACTGTTATCAGTTGGTTGCATTGTTACTTGTACGTTTGACATACCAGTGTTACTCGTAGTAGGTATCTGTAAAATCAAATTACATATTGAAGTGTCATTGTACACAAAAGTTAAAATGTAGTAGTATGTAATAATATTAAATATAGTAATTAAATATAGTAATTAAATATAGTAATATAATAGCAGCGTATATATACTTCAATTATATCATTGCTTGCGTTTCCGCCTGCACTGTTTTGATATGTAAATAGATTTGGTACTAATTCTCCTCTCTGTGCTACGTTTTGCTGTGCGAATTTGTTCGCATTTATATAATTTCCCATTGCTCCCGATGATGTGAGTAACTGGCTTAGTTGCGAGACTTGCTGCTACACAAAACACACAAAAGTGATAAATATATTTCAATTTTCATAATATGTATATGTTAAAATAAATATGATGATGTAAATATATATATATATATATATATATATATATATAAATAAAGTTAATAAAATATATATATAAAAAATAAAGTTATATTTACATGTGGATTGCTGTTGCTCGCAGTATGTGGCATCATCGGTCTTTGTTGTTGTTGAATATTCTGTAAAATATTATACGTTATAACAATGATGCATTTCATATTGTTTTAAAATATGTATTACTTGGATTATTTAAAACTTTATTGAGAGAAAGAGCAGGAAAGGAGATATTTTATTGCGAGATATTCTCAAAACTAGCTCTTGTTGAATTAATGTTATTAATAGTAATATTACTTTAATAGAGATAGGATAAAATAGATAATTACCGGTAAAGATGGATTTCTTATAGGTTGCTTAGTATACAACGTAGCTTGTTTTTCCCAATAATTATACATATCCAGTAGAGCTCGATTTGTCATCATTTTTTGTTGCTCTGGCGTTGTATTGGGATACTACATAAATTATAAATAATTCACTTAAACAATTCTTTCATAATTTTTAATTTAATTGTCTTCTTAAAAGATACTTACATCTTTACGAATAAGTTGTTGGAGATTATCATACTCGATTTGGAGAGACATATCTTGAGGCATCAAACCAGACTGTCCAGAGTTCATCATAATATTATACTGTTGCATTAATAAGTTATTTTGATAAGCCATATTGAATGCCGGATTTATCGGCGGTTTTCCCTTCTTCTCCTCTTCATATTCCAACCAAGCTTGTTTGCGTTCCTCCTCATCCAATTCCTCCTCGGCCTATTAATATTAAAAATGTAAATTTATTAATTTATAGAAATACCCATGTCTTTTTCTGACAAAAAAATATTGCTCACTTTGTTCTCCAATAGAGAATCGTGTTCGTGATAATTTTCTACGACTTCTTTAAATTTCAGGAATATTTCTGCTAGTAGTCTATCTTTAGGTAAATTTAACGTAGGTCTCTCTTTATCGGTGTATGCTTCGAAACTGTATAATTCGTTTAGATTATGATTACTATAATGTCTTTCGATCTGTTGCTCGTCCACAACTCGACACGAGAGCGACAGTTTCGTGACTTGACGATTATAAATCTTCTCTTCCATCGTGCCCGCCGCTAGTAATCGATATACATAACACGGCTTCTTTTGTCCGAATCTGAAAATCATCAAAAAAACAACTGGATAATGGATAATTATTGATAATTTTGTTAAACATAAATGTTACAAATAAACTGCCTCTCGTTTCTGCTTATAAAATAATTTATATTAAATTTTTTGCACGCAACTCTTTTCTGACTTCAACCCTTCTCTTATAATTATCTCCTAAAACTCTCTATCTTCTATGTTTTTTTACCTATCTACTATTTTCCGTTACAGAGTTTCTTATATTCCTTTTTGATTTTCCTGATTTCCTTCCATTTTTCTTCTCGATTTGATAGATGATAATAAAGTCAATAATAGAAAATGCCGAAAGAAGTATATACCTGTATATCCGAAATATGCTTTGCACATCGTGAGAGGGATTCCAACTGGCGTCGAATATAATCACTCTGTTAGCTGCAGTTAAGTTTATTCCTAATCCTCCGGCACGTGTGGATATAAGGAACAATCTCGCTCTCGTATTAGTGGGCCTGTTAAATATTTTACACCACATATTTCTGTTTTCAGCTGACGTTTGACCATCAAGCCGAAAGTAATCGAGACCTAAGGACCAACTTCCGGTATGATTATCCAATGTATCCAAGGATGCATCCTTCTGAGTCTCATCGTCTATTTTTCGGAGAAATTCCTCGATCAAAGTGAGAGAGTATAGAGATTGTGAGAACAGAAGCCTGTCGAGAAAACAAAGCAATATATAATAATAACGCACAAAAAATAATTAATTATATAAATGGTTTGAGATAAAATATATGTACACTTTATCTCCAATCTGTTCACATTCCTTTAAAATTCCAAAAAACAATAATAATTTAGCAGACACTCTCATGTCTTCGAAATGTTCAGGCTGCACAAATTGTGACCACCACTCTGCTTCTTTAGTCTCTTCTTTAGGCTCTTCTTCTGGCTCCTCTTCTAAAATAGGATTTATTTAACATTTATTAATTATTATGTCATTACACACACTGCGTGTTCATTAATTTAATTTTACTAATTTAATTTGTTATATTCAACATTATAAATTATATGACACTAGTTTCAAGTACATAATTATAAAAACCTACCACCAGGATTATTTCTTGTTCTACGCTTGGGAATATTTTCTTTTACATCATCAAGAGCTTCAACATCACTGTCACTACTCGAACCGTTGCTGCTCCCTTCTGAGTTACTACTATCATCGTTAATAAAGTCTTTCAATGATCCTTCCGAATCACTCAAAAGTTCTTTCTTTTCATTCGCTTTTTCAATCTTCTCTGCATTCAAACGTAAAACTATGGGATGTGTCCAAATTCTTTGTAACGACTGAAAATCCGCAAAAAGAGTTCCTCCTGCACCAGAGGCGCGTCTAGAAGGGGAAGCATATAAAATTTAATATATTGTTTATAATTTTAAAAGTAATTACAATCACTTTAAATCACATAAAAAAGAAAATATGAAATAAAAGAAGCATAACGTGAAATGCATACCTCGCAAGATTAGCCAAGTAATATTGGTACATTTTAATTTGCGGCTCTGTCAATCTGACAAAAATAACATATTCCTGTTTCGGCGGTAGGAACGGTGTAAGCACGGAATAATCAAACCTCTGTACACTACCCTCCAACATTTTATGTAACACATGCGCGCGCTTTTTCATTAATTTAACATCATAAGCGGTTGAATCGTCAAACTGACCATTCGTTATCGGATTTACGAATCTATTCAAAAATTCTTTCTTTGTACCTAACAGATTGGGCTTAACAAACTGTACCATACAATGATCTGCAAAATCGTAATTTCAAATATATAATATTCACACTTATTGAAAAAATATATTGCAAGAATCCTTTATAAGGTACTCACATTCTATTAAATTATTTTGCAGCGGCGTTCCAGTAAGTACTATACGTCTCATAGTCTTCACCCTTCTCATGCATTTACTTAACGCGGTATCTTCGTTCTTTAATAAATGTCCCTCGTCGCAGACAATAAGATCCGCGCCTGGATCAACTAAGCATTGCTCTATTACTTCTTTCATACCTTTTCGGATATTTTTATTCGGACCCGTAAGATTACGGAACATTTCATAACCGAGAATCATCACACCACCGGTCTTCTGCCATCTCTGTAGCTGATACTTTCTCTCAAAAACTCTCTTAAACCTGCAAGTTTGGTTTTTTTGAATAAAATATTTGTCATGAAAATTCATAAAAATCGCACATTATACGCGAGTTTTTTTGACAAGGAAAAAATTTTAGATAAATAAATCATTTAAATTCATACTTACTTCGTCATTTCGTACACCTCGATATCATCATCCAGATCACTCAACCACGTTCTGTACTCATTTAGCCAATTGAGTACTGTGCTCAGCGGACAAACTACCAGTACCGTTTTAACGTTTGTCTCCTCGTGAGTTAAAAGTGTGTGCGTTAGAGCGATTACTTGCAACGTTTTACCCAAACCCATGCAATGCGCGATTATACATCCGGATCCGGATGTGTTCTTCACTCTTTCTAGGGACTCGAAACAGGCGTCCCACATAAATTTGATACCCTGCGCTTGATGCGGTTTTAGCCGTTTTACTAATTCCTCATGCACGCTAACAAGCTCCTTTTTCTTCTCCAGATCGAAGTCTAAAACGAGCTTCTCGACCTTTTCCTCTCCAGCAAGTCTCATCTCGTACATTTCATTGTACTATAACAAAAGTAACATCATGTATAGAGAAAATATACAGAATGTGTGTGTACCTATATATACATACACACACACATATATATATATATATATATATATATATATATATATATCATTAAATTATAGTATATACTATTTTATTTTTGACAATCAAACATTTGGAAATGACGAAGTTTTAGAAAAAAATATCAAGTAAAAAATGTAAGTTTTTCATAGGGAAAAGAATAATTTTGAATTAAGATCCTTTTTCAAATTCATTTAAAAAATTAATAGAACCACTCTATTTTTTTATATAAATCAATTTTTAGCAATATTCGACATAAAATAATAAGAGTAGAATGGTCAAAAATTGAATTTAATATTATGTTAAATTTAAATATAAAATATCTCGTTAACTATTTAACTTGACTATTTCACTCTTATAATTTTTATGCCAAATATATAGAATATGCATATACAATATCAAATAAAAGTTAGTAATGTAAGATCTACCAGAGCTTGGCGTTCAGCAATACGTTTAAGCCTTTCCTCCTCTTCCTTGGCAGCTAGTTTTGTATCCTCTGCTACTTGTTTGTCCTTCAAAACTTTTCGTATATTTTTTCGACCACTTTTGTTAGGTGAGGACCCTTGCGAATTCTTCATTTCCGCGCTGCTGCTATCACTGTCAGAGGCTACTTTTTTAATTCGTTTACGTTTTGGTTTTGGCCTACAGATTACATAATATTATTAATTTAAAAGTACAGTATTAAATATATGTAAAAGAAGCTGTGTATATATGTATGTAATTTACTTCTCTGCAAGCGAAGAATCCGTGTCTGATGAAGCACTCTCGCCGCGTTTACGTCTCTTTCGTTTTTCTTTTTTTACGCGATCCAACTCGTCTGAACTTTGTTTGGCACTCGAAGCTTTGGAAGAGTTGTCAGAATTACTACAGTCCGTGATTATGACATCTGAATCGGAATCGAAAATTCTCCGCCTAGTCTTCTTCTTTTTAGATTTTGATTTTTTCTTCTCGTTATCAGAACCGCTGCTGCCAAAAAAATAAAAATTGTTTATTTTTAGTTACTTATAGAGTGTCTAGAAATAAAATAAAATAACTCACTTATTTCCTTCCGTTTTTTTCGCCATTTTTTCTACTTTCTTTTCCCATTTTTCCTTTTCAATCTCGGAATCAGTATCAGAGAATCTTCTTGTTAATAATTTACTTCGTCTCCAACTGCTTTTGTCATTTTTCTCCTTTTTGTCCTAAAATATTTTAAAGTAAAATCAACACCTTTTTAAAGTTATCTCTTAATATATGTCATTATATGTAATAGATCTGAGATCTAATAAACCTTATAATTAAAAAGCTTATTTAAAACTTATTTTAATAATTAGTGACTTTTAGTTTTTTTCCTTTTTTTTACAATCTACATAAATCTTTTCATTAAACATTAAAAAAAGTCTTACATTATCTTGCTCTAAAGCCTTCTCTTCAGGTTTCTTACTAGATTTCTTTTTCTTTTCTTCTATTTTTTCATTGTTAGGATCATTATTTATATCATCATCGCTATCCAGTGGCACTTCTTTTTCTACATTTAAACAATAGAAATACTAGATTACTCTTTTGATGTTAAAAGATTTAAATTAATAAAAACTAAAATATAGCATATAAATAAAAATATAAGTACACTTTTATATAACATTAAATTTGAGATAAATCTAAAAAGTAAATGTAAAGCCATTTATTTATACAAAAGTGTTATGTTTCTTATTTCGAGAAATTTAGAAGTCGTAGAAATTTAAATTTTAAATATATCATGGCACAGATTAGAAATACCCATTAATAATGAATTACTTACCGTCGGATGAATTTAGCAAGTTCTCTTTCGCGATTTTATTTGCCTCCAACATTAAAGCTTCATTAGATATAGGCACATCATCTACTTTCTGTAGTCGATGAACTGATTCATCGGAACCAGAATCCATTTCTATAGGTGCCGAGACATCGCCATTCTCTACCATTTTTAAGTGATCCATTAAAGATTCTTCCTTAGTTGTTTGTTTTCCTTTTTGTTTATTTAATATTTTGGAAGTGTTTAAGGATGCATCATCATCATCCATCGATGAATCGGAATCTTTTTTTGCGTTTTTCTTGTTGCGTTTCTTTTCGAGTTTATCCAGATCAATAAGACTGTAAAGGACAATGGAAATAAGGATAATTATAATAATTAATAATATAATAAATTTTGCTATAAAAAATTTATTGTATAAACTGTTTCGCCAAATAAGGTTACAAAAAAATGCACAAAGATTTTGTAAGCACTCATCTAAATACTGATCACATATTAAAATCATATGTAATTTGTGAATTATAATAGTAGAATTAAACAACTTTTAATATTGATTCAAAAATTATCAACTTAAGAAGAAAGTATCTAAATTAAGTGAGCTAGATTTGTATAAAAGTGTATAATGAATAATCATATAGCGCCTAAATAAAATAAATCATGACACATTTTACTACAGAAACTCTCTTTCTTTTGCAGATTTTGAGAAAAATTAAATTTAAAACTTATAATTGTGTTTGCTCATGTAATGAAATATCTAATTATCATAACTTTTTTCGTTTTTTATATCTCAACAGAAAACTATTTTATACACTTTTGTATACATTATTTGCTCATACAGATCTCATACAACTCTTCCAGTTGGGAAATTAATATATTAAATGTGAAAAAAATCTCATTACACTGTGTGTAATTATATCACATTATTCTGGTATGTTTTGTAATATATATATATATATATATATATATATATATATTTTATTATCACAAAATTAATTAATCAACTAAATAATTATGTCATATTTTATTATGACAAAATTAACTCTAATAAGATCATGGTATATTTGTGCATGCGTGAAGAATAGTTCATTCATGTATCTCATGTATCTAATGTAATAACATATTTATATATATATAATACTACAATTTTTATTATATATTTTTATATTTTAGCAAAATTATTTGTATGTGAAAAAAATCAAAATTAATAATGAGATAATAATTCTCTTATATACATACATACAAAATTTAATTCTACTACTTTCAAGACAACCATGTTCTAAATAGTAAAACATAATATAATATATTATACTTAAAACTTTCTAACGAAATAGCGATCAAATTACTTTAAATGATGCAAAATAATAGAAAAGGGTTTTAGAGAAAGATCTTGATACCTTTTGAATGCCTTTTGTTCCAAATATTCTCTTGACTTTTTTAACGCATGCGAATGACGTCTAAGAATTCTTTTGCTCAATTGCTCTAAACGAACTTTGCAGATCATTCTCAATTTCTTGTCCTTCCAATATTGATGATTTTTGTTGAATTTAATTCTTTTCCTTTTTACTCTAGTGTTTCTCGTGTCCTCGTCACTGTCAAATTTACGTTTCAATTTATTTGAATTATTTGATGAATCATTGGTTTCTACGTTGAATTCAATCAACTCGGAACTGGAACTTTCTGTATTGGAAGAGGCTAGGAGTGCGCGCTTTGATTTGGCATTCTGTTCGGAAGAATTTGAGTCAATCTTCTTATCTTCATTCTCTTCCGAATCCGACGACGACAATAAAATTGAAGAAGAGTCATCTGAATTTGATTCTAAGAGAGCCTTCTTAGAAGCTTCTTCTGCTTTGATATCATCGTTCAACGAATCCATTTCTTTATGAGATTTCTCATCTGTTTGTTTACTAATACTTTTGTTCTTGTCTTCAGTCTTAGCTCCATCATCAGTATTCGTCTTTTCTGGAAATGACGATAATATTAATGTGCTAGTGCTATTAACGTCATTCAAATCATCATCATCTTTCGCTTCGTTATTTTCTTCGTTATTTTTCTCTTTAGTTAATTTAGTAGTTATGCTTGCATCAAGCAATATGCTAGAAGAATCAGAATCTGATTCCAAAAGACTTTTCTTCGCCAATGCTTCAGCATCATCAAGAGATGTATCAACATCAGTGTTCGTTTTTTCTACATCAAGTTCTTTCGAATTATGAATTTTCCCATTAGTTACAGATTCAGATGTTACTTTTTCCTGATCCGATAAATTATTCTCTTCATTATCATGAAATACGAGAGGTGTTTTATCATTTTCGTTTGAAATTTTCTTTTGCAAGAAAGTATCCAAGGATTTCATTTCAGATGAGGGTTTTATTTTATCACAGTTTGTTTCTATAGTCGTTTCTTGTGCTTCAGTTTTATCCTCTTCTGCAGTCTTAAGAATATCAGAATAAGAAGCATCAAACATCGATTCATCGATTATATCCATCGATTCATCGATTATATCCCTGTTTGCAGAATGATTTTGGTTGCTATCTTGTAATGTTTTGTTACTATTTCTCAAAGGAGAATTTTCAATTTCAGTATCAGAAACATCAGACTTACCTTCTTTATTGTTCAAATCAATATTATGTGGTAATGGTGTCTCATTATTGTTTGTGCGTTCTTGCTTATTAGTCGGTCGTTCTGCGTTTATGATTTTCTCTTTTGATGCTCCTAACAATGGAGAAGTAGATACTTCATTTTGCAAATCCGCATTATTTTTATCCACATGAGCTTCATCCTTTGATAAATCTATCGACCCTTTATCTTCATCATCGATTTCAATGTCATTAGCGTTTATATTATTTTTTACATTTGATGTATCTACTTTGTCCTGAGTTACTTCCATCTTTTGCAATGTTCTTGATTCGTCCGCTGAAAATATTTCTTCACTGTCGCACTCAGAGACGTTCTTATTTCCTTCTTGCTCGTTTTTAGAGTTGCAATTCTTGTTTTCGTTGATTTCACGTTTTTCATTTACGTCGATTTCCTTCGAAGATTGTTCATCGTCAGTTTCTTTGGATGATCTCTTCATTCGAACCAAACTTTTCCTATTCTTCGAACTTTTAGACTGATAAAATGTTGTTAAATTCTTTTGTACTTTTTGAAAATTCGGCCAAATTTTATTAATTTTCTCTATCGTTCTCAACATAAACTGCTCTTCATCCTTCTTGCCATATAATTGCTCTACAGTGTTTATATATTTTTGAAAATTTGAAATTATTTTTTTACAGTCACTCACAACATTCGTAATATCAAGATTCATATCTGATTGGTCATCAATATTATCTTTATTTTTACTTGCAGAGTTTTCTTTAGTGGGTGATTTAGTATAATCTATCTCTAAATTTACGAATCGTCTTACAGGATATTTATTGTAATTCACCTTTTGAAATTTTTTCTTCTGAAATTCTTTACTGGAACTGGAATCTGATTCATTTTCTTGAATATTAGAAAAATGTTCCTTTGATGACTTGTCATGTTTTTTCTTACGCCTTCTTTCCTCATTATATGATGTAAGATTTATGGAATGTCTCTTTTTATTTTGTTTTTTATATTTGGTCTCTTCATCTTCGGATTCACTAGTCATATTCTTACTTGATTTTGCATTACAAGAATTAATATCTTCCTTTTCACTTTTTTGTCTAATATTCTTTGAAAGATTTTTGGTTACATTAGATGCTCTATTTGTAGAAACGTCCTTGTCGTTTTCGCTATCAGAAGAATTATGGCTATTTATTATCCTTCCAGTTTTCATATCAGATTTACTTGTATGTTTTTGTTTAGTTATTTTGTTTGACGATAACTCAATAGAATCACCCGAATCGCTAGAGATTTTAGATTTTCTTGATTTCGATATTCTGGGCATTGAAGATTTGCTAGAACCTTCTCTATCTTGTTTGGATTTAGGTTTTTCATCTCTTCTGTTTTCGTTTTCGGATGAATCTGTTAAATCCACTTCCCATATCTTTTTTTGCTGATTGAGGATTGCATTTCGTTTCATACGACGTTGACTGTCTACATTCTGACTGGATCTCACAGTTACAAATGTGTCATTGTCAGAAGATTTATCATCATCTTCACTATCACATAACTCTTTATAACTCTTCTGACGTTTTTTGGCTAATTTTAATTTTTGTATTTCAGATGGTAACATACGTCTTTCAATCTTGTTGGTGTTTCTCCTGTTATTCTTTCTGAAACAGAAGATCCATTCCATATATACATATCTTCCCTTTTCCTGGATGTCATGTATACATGCATGTCCCTCATTTTTCTTTAAGTCATTTATTCCTAAACTTTTAGTATCTGTCAGCCAGTCCTGTAGCTAGAAATGATATATTTTACTTTGCTCTTCTTTTCTTTTTGCCTTGTTCGAACATAATCTTAACAGTCTTCTTCTAGTAAATTATAACAGAACGGACTAACAGCATAATTATATAACATATTTAACTTACAAAACAGCACATGCTACATTAAACATTACTAAAACATACAATTTTAATGTATACAAAAATTATTAAATTATTATTTATTGATTATAAAGCTTCAACATCTATTTTAGTTTTCTAATGAAAACAATAATGTAACAATCACAGCTAGTAATGAACACATACATACACACACACACACACACACACACACACACACACACACACACACACACACACACACACACACACATATATATATATATATATATATATAGAATGTCCCAAAATTTGCAAAACAAAATATAATAAAAAAGAAAAAATATTATATTCAAAAGATTATGTTATAAAAAATAATAATTTTTTATTAGTAGCATTCTTTATTTTTCAAGATAGTGTTAAAATGTACTCTTTATAATAGAATAGCATTCAATTGAACCAATCAGGACAAAAGAGACAAAAATTTCTTTCCTATTTATCAATCAAATATTATTATATCCCAAAAATTAAATCTTAATGTAAAAATAGTTTTTTAAATAAGATATTTCTATATATATATATATACATACACAAACATATACATCATTTACAATAAATTTACAAATGGCACATTTGATTCATTTGCGTTTAAGAGATTAGTTGAAAATAGTGACTAATTCTTTTTTTATCATTCTCTCTCTCTCTTGCCATCTAGGAAAGTTTAAAATTTAGAAAAAAATGTAGAATATAATGCTAATGTTAATTTTTTTTATAAGGATTGGAATTTATTTATTATTTTTTCAGAGATTCAAGTGTGCCTTTTGAAGATTAAGAAATGTATAAATACGTACTCAATGATAATATATTTTATGATTATTATAAATTTTTCAACAAGCAACATTTATATGCCTATTTGTACTTACTTAGTGTCCATTACAGCAGCACATACAGCTCTTAGGTCCCAAATCGGTTTAGGATTACATGTGAAACATTTCCAATCCTCTTTTTCTGCATTTAATAGCGACATACTTGCATTTCTTTTTATGCATTTCTAAAAATATACAATAATTAAAGAACATTTCTATTTGTGTGTACACATATGTGTAAACAGTAACTGATATTTATTGAAAGGTATACAGAATTAATTACCTTGCAAAATGCAGAGGCGCAGTATCTATTACCACATTCATATAAATTCTTTTCATTGCCACATATGTAACAATATTTTTGAAATTCATCATCATCTTCATCTTCATCTTCAAATGCTGCATCTATTTCCTTGAAGTTTTTCCAACATGTCTGTAACAAGTACAATTTTTAATTATTATAAGTAAACAAATTATTTAAACTTTCTTATTTTATATTCTTTTAAGAAAAAAAACATTTAATTTTACATAAAATGTAACAATATTTAAAAATATATCTTACCATGCATTGCAATATTCCCATCAATGGATGAGAGTAGATTTGTTTTGATTCAAGACTCAATGTATTGCCACATGAAGTACATGATATTTGTTCCTCTTTAATGACTCTAACATCTATACATAAAAAGACATATCAGTATTATTAGAGATGTAGAAGTCTTTGTAAATGTTGTAAATACAAGAGAAATGTTATTAATATGCCTGACTTGTCTGTGTATATCATAAAATTAACTTATACCATGAAAATGTTTCTCTCGATAAGCAAGTTCCTCTGGAGTTGCCTTGACTTCTCTCTGAAAATCAAGAGAGAAATAGAAACAATATTTGTATTATATTAAAAATGTTGCATTTACTTCTGTCTTCTCGCAACTTTTCTATATCACAAAAAAGTTAAAACTAATGATATTAATTAGCTATTTTAACATTAAATCAACATCGAATCATTAAAAGACTTTAATGAGCAATGCTTCAGATGTTATTTGTATTTAAATCACATAAATATTTATATTAAATAATAATGAAATAAAAATATAAGATGTTTCTGTGCACTGACTATGCTTTTTCAACCATAAAAAAAAATTTAATGAAATGCTGGTTAAAGAACACATTATAATACAATTACAAAATCATAAAAGATTGATATATAAATGTGAATTAAATATTGTCATAAAAAGTTTCTATAAAAAATGAACAAACAATATTTACTTCATATTTGTGTTTACTCCTATATACCATTTTAACCTAACATTTTATTTCAAATTTATATTACAAGTAGTGCATAAATAATAATTCGTAACTTAATACATTTATTCAGTTTGTTGAAGACAAGAAATAAAACCCAAAATTACTCACTTAAGTCTAATAATTTTAATTTTAGTAATTTAATGAACTTGTAAACTTAAAACTTATTTTTACATACAAATATATCATCGTACCTTGGATGACATGATTGCACGCTGATATTATAAGCAGATCTTAACGTCATATAAATAAACGGAAGAAAAGAAGGCAAAAAACCTAATAGTTTCTCCAACGAACTAAACTAAAACTCGCGATCAGCCACACCGAGACACTATTATACCACAGCCATTTTACGTTCGTTTTGCAATCAACTGTTTACAGATGCGGAACACATTTTCGACGACCGTGCGCGCAAAAGTCGTACAGATCCACGAGGACGACGATAAGAAACATCCTCGTTGATCTATAGACTTTTATGCGTTCGCACCGACCGAAAGAGAGATTGTCCGAAACGCGACTAGTTGCTTTCTCGGAAGCAGGTTCAGCCGCGTATGTATATTTTATCTCGAAACGAGCCGTCCTCGTACCTGGAGAACTCTATCGTCTCGCTAAACTTTCTCGTGTCACGAGCAAACAACCAAGTACAACGTTGCTGATCGAAAAAACTTCCGTCAATCAATTATTCTTGCATTAGCAAAAGGAAAAAAATTATCGTGATTTACCGCGCGATTTTTATACAAACAGGCGAAGCATTGCACTCACACCGGTCGTACAAAATGGCAGGACCATAAACGTACGAGATACGTAGATGGGGCTCCTTCTGTGAGACGAATGGATTGCCGAAGGATCGTTGATTGGTCGATAATGTTAACGTCATATATATATATATATATTCTGTATATATATATATGCTTAAGGCACAGATTAATAGACAGATCGCCAAAGGTCTGGATGAAGGAGAGACCAGTATTTCTCACTGATTTCAGCGCCATATTGTAGTAGTGGTCAATGCAGTAACTATTAATACGTTCCCAAGATAAGAGCGTCTCATGCTCATGAACTCGTCCGGCGGCATGTACGAGATTTATCTTTTCGTAGCGTTCGCGTATTTCGGAAAGGACAGAATTTTATGATGTTATAAATAAATAAATAAATAAAATATTAACCTGACCTATTATAATTATTTTTTAATAAATGTTTCATTATTATTATCATCTCAGTCTAAGTCGTTTAATTAATTTTTAGTTTTTTAATAATTAATTTAATTTATTCTAATCATTTTAATATGTGAAAAATACTAATACGTATACGTTTTATAATAAATTAATATATTTCGAGAGTCGAATTATATATTTTTAATAATATAAAAGTGTTCAAAAATTATATTTGACTTTTAATTTTAATTATTTTAGCAAAGAGTTCCGAAATCTCTTACACACATAATAGGGATTTTGTTCATCCATATAATTCGCAATTAAGTATATATGTTAATTATTAATTTTAATAAAATACAAAATTAAAATTAAAGGTCAAATATAATTTTTGAACATAAATATATTTAATTTGTTATAAAACGTATACCCGTGATAGTATTTTTCTCGTACAAAAATAACTAGAATAAATTAAATTACTCATAAAAAAATAAAAAAATAATTAAATAATTTATATTTTATATGATAATAATAAAACATTTTATAAAAAAAACAGATTCAATAAATATAAGTATATATATAACATGTACTTATATTTATTGAATCTGTTTTTTAATAAAATGTTTTATAAGCTTAGAAAACTTGACTTCGACGTAACTAGCAAATTTTATTTAATTATTTCACGACGGTTTGACGTAATAAAATGTTTTATTATTATATAAAATATAAGTTTAAATTCTTTAATTAATTTTTAATCTTTTATGATTAATTTAATTTACTCTAATTATTTTTGTACGAGAAAAATACTATCATGGGTATACGTTTTATAATTAATTTAATATATTTGTGTTTAAAAATTATATTTGACCTTTAATTTTAATTTTTATTTTATTAAAATTAATAATTAACATATATACTAAATTGCGAATTATATGGATGAAAAAAATCCCCATTATGTGTGTAAGAGATTTCGGAACTCTTTGCTAAAAAATAATTAAAATTAAAAGTCAAATATAATTTTTAAACACTTTAATATTATTAAGAATATATAATTCGGTTCCCGAAATATATTAATTCATTATAAAACGTGATATTATTTTTCTCACATAAAAATGACTAGAATAAATTAAATTAATTATTAAAACTAAAAAGTAATTAAACGACTTAGACTTAGATGATAATAATAATGAAACATTTTATTAAAAAAAGATTCAATAACTAGTAGGTCAAGTTATAATTTTTTATTTATTTATTTATAACATTATGAGCTATTAAGCTCATCATCTCGTTCGCTCTCTGTCTTGCTTTCATTCGGCAAGTCACAAACGATATATGATACTCGTATGTTCCTACTTCAACTCTCGAGAATCTGAAACAAACGAAACTCGTGTCCAATATACAGGGTGTCCGGTAACTAACAGACCAATGATTACAAATGGATTCTTTGGTCAATTTGGGATCGATTTTTCCTCAGCGAAAATGTCGAAAAAGGTCATCATTTTTTACAACTTTCCAATCTTTGTCATTATATATCTTTATAACTAAGCCTTAAATTAAAATTTTATTATAGTAAACTCTACCTGAAATTAACTGAAGAATGTAATTATGTTAGACTTTGAACTCCAAAACGTTTAGTTTTCAAAAAACCTATTTTTTTCAATCGCTTATAACTCGAAAATTATTGACTTCTCTACATTTTTGCTAAGGAAAAATCGTCTCCAAATTGGCCAGAGAATCCGCCCTTAATCATTGGTCCGTTAGTTACCGGACACCCTGTATATATTATATAAAAGTGTATAGCACGTCAGAAGCTTGTGAGCTTACAGCGATAAGTAAAAACAATTGCGTATCTATTTCATTGCGTTTATCTGTTTAAACGCGCGCTTTAATTTTTCCAACGTTTTTGCCTGTTTATATTTTAAAGGTCCTCTCTTCTAAAAATCTTGTTTTAAAGATCCTCTCCGCGAGCAAAATTCGAAAACATAAATTATTTAATATTTTTACTTTATTATTTGTAAATCCTCGGTAATTTCAAAATTTTTCTATTTGAAAATTATTAATTTTCTATTGACAATTAATTTTATCACAGACTTTACTCTTACTCCCATTGCACTTTCGTTTGCGGTTTTCAGTATACGATTTTTTATCGTAGTTACTGAAAATTATTATTGTGAATTATACTTGTGCAGTGATTTGAAGAATTTACAATTTCGTTGAAATTGTTGATTCTTCAAAAAAATTACGAGATTCGCGGAAATTGCGTGCTTTCTTGGCATTTTCCGTTCGCGGCAGGCGGTTTATTTTTGATTGTTGCAAGTGTTTTTTTTTTTTTTTATTAAAATAGATAATAATAATGTAAAATAAATCACGATATTTGACAGATGTGCATATATATAGAAATTGTAATAATAATAATATTATATCATAAAATTGTAAATTGTTTCAATTTTTTATAGACTGCGATAAAAGATTTTACATTTGGATAAGAAACTGCGGTAAGTAAAAATATAAAATTCTTGAAAACGTACCAAAAATATTTGATAACGTAAAAAGGTGAACTTTGAAAAATAAGGAACTTAAAAATTGCACTAATAAATGGGCTATATGTGAGCCGTGCGCGGATGTAAGGTGTGTTATATCGAAATTTAATTAATAGAATTGAGAATTAATCCCAATTTTAAGTCTTACAAATGTCCAAGCTAATTTTTTGTACCTCGTGTACATTTTTGAAAGTTATATCGAAAAATTAAATTTCAATATGCGTCTTACATCTCACATTTCGCATACGGCTCACATATAGCCTATTTATCTCTTATACTTTATTTCAACCCTTATAGAAATTTATTACTAGTAACGCCAATTTATCAATTTTATTTCGAGTAATTAATCACTTTTATTTCGAATACTTAAATTACTGTATATTATAGTATTTTAAATACTCGAAATAAGTGATTAATTGGCATAGTGATAAATTTCTACAAGAGAATAAGGAGCCTTTAAATTCTTAATGTAAAAAATTTTAAGTAATTTTCTTTAATAAAATTTAATTAAAAATTTTTGAACACTGTGTTATATCACATTTAAAATCGTGATTATTTCAATAAAAAAACATTTTATGTGTAAAAAATATATTTTTTATATTTAATAATTTTTATATATATATATATATATATATGCATATGTAAAATATTCTCTTTCTCTTTCTCTCTCTCTCTCTCACACACACACACACACACACAACGGGGGCCAAATCTCTCAAATTGGGCTCATGATCAATTAGCCTGGATTCGCACCAGGGGCAAAGTCTGTTGGTAATGTCAAACGAATTTAGCCTGGACTTGCACCAGGGGCAAAGTCTTTTGGTCGAGTCTACGAAATTTAGCACGGACTCGAACCAGGGGCAAAGTCTTTTGGTTCAAGTCTACGAAATTTAGCACGGACTCGAACCAGGGGCAAAGTGTGTCGGTAAGGGGCAAAGTCTATCGCATGAAGATGGCGGTCTCTTCTTTAGGCAGGCCTTTGGCGATCTGTCTATTAATCTGTGGTACTGCCGACCCTTAAATATAAATATATAATTTACATAATTTTTCCAATTACATATTATTTAAATTAATAAATAAAATCAAAACGTATCGCCCTCTGTATCGCACTTTTATATTCATTAAATATTTATGAAAAATGTTTTTAACTTAAATGACATAATATATATAGAGATAAAATTTATTTCTATATCTCTTAATTTTGATATTAATTTTCTGCAGATAAAAGTTAATGTTGTTCTATATAATAGAATATATTTTTGTTGTGAATAATTTTTGCTTGCACTTGTCTAATATTGCACTTTATTTTTAAACGTACAGACATACAAATAAAAATGCTATACAATACTTATATTATTAGGAGATATCTATAGTAATAACTACATATATATAATTATATATATATATATATATATATATCGTTATAGAGAGAATATAAGTTACATAAAAATGACAATATAAAATAGTAAAAATCAGTACAGAAAGAGATTTAAAAGTCTTGTTATTACAGGTGCATATTGCTGCAGCGGATTTAGCCTCTTATTTATAGCAACGAGAAACTCTTAGTATAGGATGATATATATAAAGTATACATTATATATATATATATACATATATATATATATATATATATATATATATATGAAATGTATACTTTTAGACTCTTAATTCTGAACTGTTGTTCCGCAGCAGCATTCACCGGGCAGTTCAATAAATTTTCTTACATACCGACAATGTTTACCGATCAATGTCAGAGTATTCTACAAAGTTCATGTCACACTTATCACTACTAAAAGATTCTATGAATCATAGCTAACAGCAGTTATCAATTACAGACCAAACATACAAGCTTAAAGCGTTTTACTCGATTAAGATTCTGCCTAAATAATGATCTTTGTAAAATACTCTGAATCAATTGTGCCTTTTAACTATTCAATAATCCAAGCAGATTGCGAGATTCCCTTCGCAAGATATATTTACGTCATTCGAGAAAAATTCCTCTTTAACTATTAGCAATGTGAGTGGTATGTTCGTCACCACTTTCAGTATAGTCAGTCAGATTAATATTATGCTTGGCTTTGAAATCAGTCTTAAAATTTGCCTGCTGGGTAGTAGCGTCCTCCTGGAATATCTCAGTGCAATGAAAGCTACCCCCGTTGCCAGTCTTTCCGTTTGTGTTGCTAATGGAACTATTGGAGTGAATCTCATTGAAATGCTTGTATAACATTAATGTTGTATTAAATTCTAGCTCGCATCCCGGTACTTTGCATCTGAAATGTCAACTTTGCACGATTATTTATGCCACAGATTATATGTCACAATGGTAGTGTGATATATCGTTTGATGGATACTTTACCGAAATACTTCATTGTTCTTGGCAGTTTGTACGACTGACGACTTGGAATTGGCATGAATATCCTGATAATGTTTCCACAAGCTAGTTACATTATTTTCTTGTGCACCACATCCAGGTATTTTGCATCTATGCAAATATAAATACAACATATTAAATTATAAATATTATTAACACGTGTATATATGAGTATACTTACATGAAGAAGCTGACAGTGGATGCCTTTCCTTGCTTTACCTTCAGTACTTGTTTACCAGTATTCGAATTAATTGTATTTGTAACTAATTTATGACTGTCTTGATGATGACGATAGTGTGATATGTATTTGTACTTCTTCCCGCAACCGTTGATATCGCATTTATATGTTTCCTGTTTATACCTAGACATACGTTGTTTCTTCGGAGTGTATTCTTCGTCGTCCGAACAATTGCTGTTCGTTTCTATCGATCCGTCCTCGATCTTCGAGTTCTCACGTTCGAAACCATTCCGAAAAACTCGCTCCAAGTTACCCAAATCTATTCTGTGCTCTTGATTTCGTAAATTTACATTACCGAATAACACTTCCGTTTTCATATTTTTCGTGATAGTTATGTCACCGTTTATATAAACAACATTATTCTTGTCTTGCGTGCATTCTTGAAGAATTTCCTCACATTTTGGTGTCACAGTATCGTATTTTCTTAAGAAATTATCCTTAATTATAAGCAGATCCTCATTTTTAGAGAACTTATTAATACCATTCAAAGACTCGTTATTTGAATAATCTTCGCTCTTTGTAAGAGCTGTGAGCTTATTCTGCTCATGACAAAAGTCATTTTTTGCCTGAATTTTAGTGTCGTTCCTAATATGACAGCTTTCCTCGTTACTTCCGTATTCTTCCTTTAAAGTAAAATTTTCACTTGGCAGTTTTTCATAGCATCCTTCCTCAGTCTTTTGCATGCCTTCTTCATCTATCGCATTTTCGGGGCCTTCGAAACAAATTATCTCAGGCTCCATTGGCAGTGTAGGTGGTTGTCTATGACAACTTTCAATATGCTCCTCAAGATTACTACTTGTAGTGTGCAAAGATCCGCAATTGGTATATGGACATGCAAAAACGTTTGTTTCATTGTTGTGCCATTCTTGATAATGTCGCCACATGCTACCTGGATCTGATAATTCTTCTCCGCAGCCTGGTTCGCGACAACTATAAAAATTTAGATAGATATTAGAAAACTTTTAATTCAAAAATATTCCTATTGTAAGATAATAATATTATCTTTTTATCTATTTAATAATACAAGTAGTAGATAATAATCAAATAAATACAAGTAGTATTTTATTTCAAACTCACATAAATCGAATCTTTAAAGCCTCCAGCACTTCATGTGTCTTATATTCATCTTGATTAGTGAATATTTTACCGCAACCTCGTTGTTTGCAAGTATATACTTCCTATGATTGGAAATTAATTTCAGTATTAGTAAAATTTCTCATTAGATGTATAAAACAAGAATTTAAAACATTGCGATCTTAATAAATACTAACAATGTAATGCAATAATTATGCTGCATTAATTATATAATTAATAAATGTAAATATTATTTCCTCACTTTCAGCATCAAGACATAAAGACACTAGGATTCCAAAAGATCTATTTGATCTTAATCTTAGGTAAATATACAAGTTAGTTTTGCTTAATTTTATCGTTCAAATATATAGAAATAAATATTTTTTCCACAGTAAAATACGACATATACAAAAGAATAAAGTGAATTATCGCTTTACGCGTCGCAAGCATTTATGAACGAATTTAGAAAATGTTGATGAATTATTTACACGAAAGAATAAAACAAATCTATCAGGCAAAACCCTTGTTTTTACACCTGTTTCAGTTTATTACACTATTTGTTTTGGCTTAGGGGTCATCGACCCCACGCGACCAATGGCTCCTTCGTGTCGAGCTTCACCTTTTTCGGCGCGATTTCCTCGATGGTGCGATTCCGCGAGACGAATCTGATGACGCTGACCTCCGTGGGTCGGTCGGCGCACGTCTCCGTACCCTGGCCCATCGCGGGCGGAGGAAACTCGTCACAGGCGGCCGCGAGAGAGCGAGGATACGCGACGAGTTCACTCTCCCACACTCGACTCACATAACCTATATTTCCACGCTGATCGCAAGTTTGACGGAAAAAATCTCGTCTTTGCTGAATGAAGCTCCCGCGAAATTTGACAGCTCCTCGATGGGCTCGGCTCGCGGCGCTCAGGATCACCGAGCGCGCTCACGATCACGTACGGACACACGCCGTCCAAATTCCACCTCACGTATCATCAATCTGTCAATAATAACAATTATTTGTATGTTGTCATGTCAGTGCGCGGAGCGGAATTCCCGGCCGTTGCAGCGTTCACGGAGGAACGAGGCCCGCGCATGCGCGCCAGCGCAAACGCTAGCAGACGCTTTTTAGATCTTATGGCTGCTCTCCAAACAGTAAAATAATGGAAATCTATAGTTTTTCTTATGTGTGTGTGTGTGTGTGTGTGTATATATATTATTAATTTTTCCAGCTCTAAAGGTCTTGAAAATTTAATTTTTAAGAGTTTAAAATAAAATTTATTACTCGTATTGAATAGACAAAAAAAGTAAAAAGAAAATTAGAAAAATTAAATTTAGGAAGTTTTTTAATCTTTTGTAATATTTCAAATTCAAATTTTAAATATTTTTTAATTAAAATTTTAATTATATATATTGAGAAATTGCAAAACTATCAATCATATAATAATAATAATAATAATATAATAAATTATATAATCACCAAAGAATAGGTATGAATCTATAATAATCTCAAGAATTTCAGGAATTCAAAATTTTTATTTAATATGCTTTTAAATATAGCAAAAAACTAAACTCTCGAAAATCGATAAAGAATTGAATATAATTATTGTAGGAGTGACACAAATTTAAATTTTATATTATCCATAGTCGAAAATTATTAACAATCGATAATGAAACAATATAATTTATCTTTTGCTTAGTATTTTACGATTTATAAAAAAACTTGTGATATTAAGAAAAATATCAGAATTAAAAAAAGATAGAATTAAAATCAAGAATTAAAATTTTCAAAAATTGCTGATATATTAAATTAAATATTCAATTGATTATAATAATTTAGTATAATATTAATATTATTCTATATATATTTAAATATTATATATATATATATATATATATATATATATATATATATATATAATTTTATTTTAATACTAATATTATCTTAATATTATTGAAATAAATTGTTTGTATATATATTGTACAGTATAAAAAAATGTAATTATGTATTATTGCAGAAACATTTTCTTGACAAAAAATTTTAAAACATAAAACAAAAATAGTATGAAATATATATATAGTATAAAATACAATATAAAAGTTTATTCTAAAATATATACACACTTATACATAGACCATACATACATTTATGTACTGAAAGAAATTTTACTATAAATAAAAATTTGCATTTCTCGTGTGTCATTTGCTAACTGTCACGTCATTCATTATCCAAAAATCAATATCTGTGTACAATATATATATATATATATATATATATATAATTAATAAATAATTAAATTAAAATATATATATATTTATATATATAAAAATTTAATTATTTATTACATCTCTGTACTGTAGAGATATGTAATTTTATATTTATATTATTTTTATTAATCAGTCTTTTTTAATTGTCATATTATTTGGAGTAATTTATATCTAGGAATTAATCGTTCTTATTCGTATCATGCGTTCCTTAGCCGCTTTGAATTGTTCAAGAACATTTTCAACATTATTGATAAGCGCATCCGTGTTTACTCTACCGCTTTCAAAATTAAAATGTGTCGTGCGTGTACCATTTTGATTGACAATATTCATATTAATTTTAATGTCTCCACTTGATACAATTCTTAAATTTGATTTGTCTAAAACTTTACCCTCATGCGCCATTGGAATACTGCAATATGTTATATCTTCGAGCTCGTAAGACCCACCAATGAAAAATCGTCTCAATGCGTCGATGATATTATCTTTTGCACGCCATGTAGGAATTGTAAATTTATATATACCAGGTGTCATTGGTATTGGTAACGCTGCGTAGCCTTCTATTCGATACCTATATTGGGATTAATGTTTTTTAAATTAATAATTTTATTTTAGAAATAAAATAAATAATTATGTGTAAATAACATGAAATTAAGTTATCAAGTTAAGTAAAAAGTAATATCGACAAATGAAGTTTTGTTCTTTACCTGGTCCAACTATCTAGAGATGCCACGGAGAATAATAAACGAGGCCATTTTATTGTCGATGTATTGTCATTTAATTGTTGAGATTCGTGCGACGGATAATGCAAAGATATATCGGTACAATAACTAAAATGCGCCGATTTATTTTCTAGACGACATCTTTGCGTTCTTCCGAATAATCTCTCTTTCTGTTTTGTAGTCCAATGTTGCGGCAAATCGATAAAATAGGTAATAAACAATCCGTCATACGAGAAGCCATGAGCTGACACAATGTCCAAGCTTAAAAATAGCGTGGATAAATTCGCCGATGGCAATTGTAGTTCCTTGTATAGTTCAACTTCTTTATAAGATTGCTGTTGTTGTATCTCCTGCAACAAGAACAATTATTAATATTCAATGAATAATTATAATATTTAAATAATTTATAACTATACAGATTGATAATTTTTAGCTGCATACATTTATCACAAAATTTATATTTAATTTAAAAAATATCAAAGATTTCTTTACATATTTGATTATTTCAAACAAAATATAGGAAATTCCTTCACACAAATTCGCGCGCATTCGCGTACAAAAGAAGATTGCGTACTTGAAATATTTTAAAAACTGCATAATGCCATAAGTACATAAATTTCTGTAAAGAAATGCAGTAAGAGAGAAATCGCTTTTGTCAACGACAATTGCTGAACAAGCAAATGTTCAAATTATAAGAGAATGTTTCAAGCACATTCTAATTATAATATAATCAGTATGCATCATTTCATTATACCGCGCATAATAAAAATCACTAATCCGATCCCGCCACTTTGCAGCTAAGTGCAACGATGTGCAAACGTGTAGATTACTCTATTAGCGCTGTAGAATCGTACATGAAAGCCGCTTCTGTGTTTGCAGATATACTCCTGCCCCACTGTGCACAGTGTAAACTATATATACACACGTATAGGCTGATAGCACTAACATACAACCTCATGGCAGAGAGTGCGTGTTCAAGAAGACATTCAGAGAACCATAGGATTCAGTTGATCGTGAGTAGTGCGATGGTCAACTTGGTTCTTGATGAATGTACATATGTGCGCGTATCGGTACACTTCACGTTAATTGCACATTGATATATCTACGAGCAGTTAATTCTCGATAACAGTTTTTTTCACAAATAATTTCATTATGCGCGAAAAGATACAATGAAATCGATGGGCCGCAAAATCATTTGGATGTGTTTTGAACGATGAACGGATGAAGAGGGATGGAACGGCAGTGCAAATTGACGGGTCTTCTCGAAGATGCCATAATCTCTGGACGAGGATAATTTTGCAGTAATAAAATTCAACGCAACAATCAAATCATCATGTTCTATCCGCAGAGAGCGATGCGACAGATGTCGGAAATCTCCTATGTAGGGTATGTATCACTTTTTATGATTAAGATTTTGTGACAAAGTTTTTGATAATAATGTTTTTGATAACTCACGTAATTAGGTAAGCAAATGCAATACAAATTTTTCTCCACATTTTACTGAATAAACGCTAAAAATTACTCGTATCGTGTCGTGTCGTGGCAAACTTGCCGCGATTTTTCGCTCTCGAATCGAATTAATAACAATTGTCCTCGCTTAGAAGTGAGTGGATAAATGCATATACAATGTCAAATTGTTTCATCGTCTTCAATTCGATAAACAACGTTCTGCACGTGCCGCGTCATCGTTTGTTGTGATAACATCTGACCGAATATTATTGCATAATATAGGTAATTGAGAACAAGAAAATGTACGACGAACACTTAAATCGTGTTATTTCAATTATATTTCCTTATGTGTGATATTTTTATTATGTTTATAATTATATTATTGTATATATTTAATTACTTTTTTATTAATTGATTTTACTTATTATTATTTGGCAAAATGCTACTATATTTTCTTATATAAATATTATACTATTGTCATGGTAAATATTAATGATTTCGTTAAATAAAATTAATACAATTAGTACAATTTTTCCATTTTTCAATATTTAAAGATGCAATGAATAAGAGATACTTGTGACACAAATGTTTAACTGTTTAAATATTGACGTTTGTGCAAATAATCCGCAATCGTCATCGTTGACAATTCCCATAATTGCATCACATGTGTGTCTTATTGCACATTTATTTTTCGCGGAGTAACGATGACGAGCAACATACTACGAATTTTTGATTTCAGTACAGTAATTTACTCTATTAAATAATATTGTTTTTATGGAAAATATAAAGTATAAATGCATATTGAATTCTTCTAAGATTAATATATAACGTCAATAATCTTAAATTAAAAAGTCACCCTATAAATTGATTAAAGTTGATCATTTTGTAATAAAATATAAAAACTTAAATTTTTATTTTTACGCATTACTGTTTGTTTCATCTATGTTTTTGTGCAAGCAATATACGTATACATTTTATATGTTGTATGCGATATAATATTAAAATAATTAAATTGTGAGATGAAATTGTACCATTATAATTAATATTATACTATGACAATTAATATATTATTGTAAATATAGTAATATATTACATGAAAGAGTCAAAAAAAGAGATAAATCTGAGTCGGAGGAGAGGATCGCCGGATATAAATGTAACTGCTGCCTAAGCGGATGTCGCTCGGGTATGCCGAGAATGGATTTTTCACGAAAAGACTTGATCTTTTCGACGTGGTGCTCGCCTCGCGGTGACGCGGAAGCTTGGAATGCCGCGAGAAATCATCCGTCGCAAAATAGCCGCATACTTACACGCCGCGTAGCTTCACGTTGCTCCTGCAGTTCCATCGACGTCGGTCCCGCGGAAACGTGCTCGATCCAATAATTGAATTTGACGCCATGGCCGTTGATGATACCGTAATGTCGCTCGTCGTCGATCGTGAAATCGGGACTAATCATCAGCAGTTTGCGCGCCTTGTCGTAAGTCACCGAACAGAGCAGCGTCTCCGAGTCCGCCGATCCGCTGGTCGCGGGCTCGTCTTTGTGAGACAGATCGGCCATAATATACATGCTAATACGTTCGGTGTAGAGATAATGGCTTGATCGGATCCTGGCATCCGTGGATCTGTCGTCCAGCACTCTCTTATTGTATCGCTCCTGAAAGGGCTTACGATTCTGCAGAGTAGGCAGTGCGGTTTGATTCTTCAGCGACAAATATGACCTGCAATAATCAAATTAAATTGTTAAAAAAATTATTTTGTAGCTGTTTCTGAATTTCATATATAAAACACTTTTACGATATGAAATTTAGTTCTATAGAAAATACGGCAAAGTTCTCTTTATAATTTACAAGTACAAAAAATTTATTTTTTTTAATATAATCAGAAATAAAATAAAATTTAGAAATATAAATAAAAATTTAAAAAATATAAAATACATTCTATTAAATAAAAATAAAAATTCATGTAAGCTGTGAATTGAATATTAAGTCATCCAAATTATCTAGCCGATAAAAAATGATAGGCCATTAAATAAAAATTATCTTTGTACGTCAAATATAAATTATCTAAAAAAATCCCTGCCTATAAGGCGTTGTCAAAAGATCATCATCGGGGTAATAGGAGTCGTTTTCAGTATAGGAGTATAATCGGGTACCCTCCAGCTGCTCGTTGCTGATACGTTGATGATACTCTCGCTGACAATCAGTCAGACAATTCTTCTCGTCTCCATAGAAATCTATCTCGAATGGACCGAATACCTTCTCTTGCCAGTTAAAAATACGATCCTCGTTCTCCAAGAAATTAGAGTCTCTGGTCTCGCCGCCCTTGGACTCCTCGGCTAACAGCTCCGCCAACGGAGATCTCTGCTGCGCGACTCGCACTCTAAAACAACAAACAAACGCTGATGAAATGATATCTGGTGTAAATCGGAAAAGATAATCCGGGACCACCCGGGATTCTTCGTTTTCCGATTCCGCGAAAATGCGAGAAATTTAATATCGCTATTCCATCTTTGTTATTTTATTCTTCATCTGTATATGTGATTATAATATATTATAAAAAATATAATTTAAAATATATAATTATAAAAATTTTAATGTAATATTACTGCAATTCTACAAATAGCTTCATATAATTTTTATGGGTAAAGGATTTAAAAAATTTTCTCCAAACAATAAAAAAATAATTAAAGCGCGATATCAATATTTTTCGAATATATCTAAATTAATTAAAAAGTATTTCACACTTATAAGTTTCCTACAAAATGTTGAAATTTTCTCTCTCTCTCTCTATTGTCGTCTATTAAAGACAACAATGTAAAAATCTTAAAACGTATGGGATTTCTTGCTAAAAATTTATAAAAAAAAGAAAGAAACAAAGAATATCCAATTATATCTGGAAACAATAAATAACACATATTCGTAATTAGGATTGCAAATGTCAGTCGGCAAAAGAAAGGTGTGATACACGCAATATTATGTAATGATTTTACGTTTTCACGCATCACACACACGCAAACTTCACCTTCGATATTGACCTTCGCGTCTTTAATCTTCGCGGAATTCTGGAATGCGGAATTGTCTACAATAATAATGTAAAGATTGTTTAATTCAAGTATTAATCACGTCAAGAAAATTAAGAAGCGTTTAATGTAATGATGAGTGTATATAAAACATGAGATAAAATTAAATAAGAAAGAAAAACAACGAGACCTTGCGTTGTTTTGATTGATTAATTAACGTATTCAGATAATAAGTAATAAACGTATTTAGATAAGTCTAATTGATGAATAGATGAGAGAAGTTGATACATCGCAAAATATAAACGGAAAATTAATGCATCATATATACGCTTCTTTGTAAATAACCTTCACGCCTTTAGAAGTCTCATATACCGGTTTAGCGCTATCAGATATGCAGAATTGTCTGCAATAGGCGAAGCTCTTTTTATAATCTTAGAGTTTAGATGTAAAGAAAATTATCATCTTTATGCATATAAAAAAAATTTGACAATCCTGCGATCCGATTTTTCGACATATACACTACCGTGTTTTTTGACAGCTTCATAATTTTATTTATTTATTTTTTTAATTAAATTCTCTATCTCACAAACTAATTTCATATATTATAATGCAAAGCAAAAAATAATTTATAAAAATTTTTGCGATTTTCTCTTTTGACTCAAACGTGAGTTGATACTAATTTTAATTACCTTATCTTTAAATTATGTATCGGTTCGTTCACTCTGTAACTCGCAGCTATTTTCATTTTTTCCCCTTTGTTCGACATTCTTAGATTGTTGTGTGATATTATATAATAATGAAACCGTTTTGATTATTGCAAAATAAAATCAGCACGCTGAATGACAGCTGATCGTGAAGTGAGTGAAGTGAGCCCAGGACGTTTGTTTATTGGTCGGTTGCTAGGTAACCTCAGCGCTGACATATATAAAGCAAATAACCGCGAAATTTGAGATGTTTGTTGAATGCAAAAACTCTTTTTCTCATTTTTCCTATTGAAAAGTTTAATTGTTGCATTTTCTCATATATCATATAAATAAATATGTCATCGTGACATAGGCAAATTTTTTTCATACTTTTTGCGTGCAAAGATGAGCAGGTATCTCTCTCTTTCTTTTTGTAACGTCATTATAGCGAATTTCCGATGAGTCAGTGTGTGTAATGTAATAATGCTCCAAGCTACTTCAGGAAATGATGAATGTCGTAGCTCTTGTCTCGATTAGACGAGTATATTCTTAGTATAAACTAGCTGCGTAATAATATTTATATGTGTGTATGTTGCATATGTAAAACCTTGAATTGTCTCGAATACATATCCTGCATCCGCAAGAGAGAAGATAATTGTTATCCGAATAAAGCTGAAAATTCTTCTGTAATTCTCAGGTCCTATTTAATCTAGACTCTATTATTTAGGTCATTATAATTTTTATAGGATTGTGTATATAATTAAAGCGTATATAATTAACCATAAATAATGCACAATAATGTATCCCTTCCACACATATGCTAGACGTACGTGAGCAGCGTGAGTAGGAGCAACCGTGTGTCTGTTTTCCTGTATTTATTAAAAAATAATATGTATATGAATAAACGATATACTCACGACCCTGAGTTTTATGGATTGAGAGTAAAAGCAACCTCGTTATTACGTTCAGAATCCTGAACCGCGTTATTGAGATTCCACTGTAATAAAAAAGAAAATAGCCTTAAAAATATAGAAAAAAAGCGAGAGAGAGAGAGGAGAAGAAGAAGAAGAAGAAGAAGAAGAAGAGAGAAAGAATTAAGAAGAAAAGAGAGAGAGGGAAAGAAGCAAAACAATTCATTGAAGAAAGAATAAGCTATTGAAAAAGGAGAAAGAAAAATATATACATAGTGGAACAATTCGAAAAAAAGAAAGGCTCCTATCTCTATTGTTTTATCAATTGGCGGGAAAAGAAAGAAAAGATCAAAAACCTGTGTAATAATTAACTTCCTCGTCTCCTCTCTAACCGTTGATTTTCGTATCTTCGTCGAGCCAATAATACGTGAGAATATGTACTTTATCGCGAGAAGATCCGGTCGTTTCAAGTACCGTTACGTTTGTTAAAATACACGCAAGCATCCGTTAAACCTCTCCTCGAGTTACGTGGAATCGAGCGTGAAAAATCTGTCCCTGAGAGAGAAAGAGACCCTCGAGATACCTGAGAAACGCGGTAAAAGGTCAGTGACACGTTGTCAATATAATATATATATTGTGCGTCCTCTGATTCTCTCTCTTCTTTCTCTTTCAAGATATTTTCAGGAATCTTCTGTCAATATATAGACGAAATTTAGGGTCAAGTTTCTTCGCCTCCGTCATCGAGCTCAATTGGTTCATTGTCAGCCACCGAGAGTCAGCTCGAAGGTTAGGATACGTCATCCGGATATGTCATTTATATACATAGAATTGGACAACGCGCGACAAGCGGGAGACACTCCCGCCCAGTGACAAACGTCAGTGGGGGCCGAACAGATCGGTTTTATCGATTTCCCGCGGCGCGGTATCTCCGAGATAAGAGGAAATGTGTCATCGCCGCTGGCGTTATCGGGGACCGAATGACTGCCCAATATGTAGTACACGAGTCTTAATGCGGCGCGGAAGTGGCATGTATATGTGTGTGTATGTGTGAGGTTGCTTCAGGTGTATCGCAACCTCGTGTCCCGTATGTAGTTTTACAGTAGTTTCGGCTACAAAGCGAGAGAAGAGTTTGCATGTCTTCTCCTCGAGGACTGCCTCCGTTTGACTCTTGTCAGGTAAAACGTAGGTACCTCTGAAGACGCACGAGCTCGTCTCGTAGTCCTGTCAATCTTTCAGGTGCGTCTTGACTGAATAGAGTATCTTCTAGTCTCAAGACTCCTTATGTATATGCTTTATAATTATTAGTATAAGTAATACTTGACAGCGAGAGGTAACACACAGTAGGTATAGTTCGGTAGAACTGAAAAGAGTAAGAGAAATGCATCGGTTCATATAAATACTATATTAGGATACTAGTATAAATATGTGCTCGATTACTGAGGATCTGTGTGGAATATCTGTGCTTACGCATGTAATATTTACTTTGCAGAGGTTTCAAATTGATAAGAATGTCAACTAATCGAGAGGGCGAAACTGCAGTGACCATCCCACTGCAGTATAATGAAGCTGTAAGTAATGTATTTTGACTTATCAAAAGAGATATAAGACATCTTCTAAGAAATGTGTGTAAAATATTTAGTTTTTGATTAATCATTGTATCACAACATATTTATTATATATTGTATTGCAAAATTTTATTCTTTTCTATATAATTACTTATGTGTCACTATATATATACACTACATATGTACACATATAGTTTTATTTTTAAATGACTCATACATAATGTCATGTATATGAGTCATTTGTAAAACTAAATATGATAAATATTGTTTCTATACTATTGATATATTAATGATTGCATTTAATCACCATTTAATCACCATCTAAAGCAATTTATAAAAAATATTTATTGTGTTAAATACTTGTATTTATGTAAAAATATGAATGTTTAAATTAATAAATAATTCTTTCTTGTTTTACAGCATTGGAAAGCTATTTTTGAAAAGTATGATCTTGATGGAGATGGAAAAATATCACTACAAGAGTTAAAAGCGATGATATGTGGTACAGAGTTCTGCAATGATATTCCTACTGGGGTGGTCGACAAAATAATGCACAAGGCGGATCTGGATGATTCTGGTTATTTGGAATATCCAGAATTCATAGCAATGGTTGGTCAGAGTTTATCGTAGAATTTTTTGCTGCATAAAAATTGTTTTTTTCCCATAACAAGAAATACATATTAATGTTACAAAGAATTGTTGATTATAACTCTTTTTTTTCTTATTATTTAGATCCACAGAAAGGACATGCAAAATCTATTTGGACACCTCGTGCAACGATATGTGCATTGTGTGATACCTCAACGACCAACCCGCACGATGAGGCAAACTTCTGTGGGCTCGAGGTATTATCCTCAGCGACAAATCAGTATTGTAATGCACACACCACCACCTCCTCCTTCCCCTTCGAGCTTCGGCGATTCTCCCCAGGCACTTATGCTTAATAGTCGCCACCGCTCTACACGTATTACCGATCTACAGCGCCTACAACAACAAACAAGTACAATAACGGAAACTTCTTTGTACTCTAGCGACTATCCGGATGGGCTGTACGAAGATGAGTACAGCTGTCGACCGCCGGCCATAGCAATGATAATCATATCGATAATAGAAATCATTTTATTCATATATGACGTGATTAAGCACAAATCTCTTTCTGTAGAAGGCCCGGCAGCTACATTATTTATTTATAATCCGCACAAGAGATACCAAGCCTGGCGATATCTAACGTATATGTTTGTGCATGTTGGGTACGAATACATTTTAATCAATATAGCTTACACAATTTTCACAGAAATATATTAGAATTACTCTTTATTAGCTTTATTAATTTATAATTTATAAGTATAATATATATAAAACGTATTTCTAAATTTATATCTTTTTTTGTAGAATCTTCCATTTGGTCGTTAATTTACTGGTACAAATTATGTTGGGTATTCCGTTAGAAATGGTTCATAAGTGGTGGAGAGTGCTGATAATATACATAGCCGGAGTAGTGGCCGGTTCGCTCGGTACATCTGTCTCTGATCCAACAGTTTATTTGGCCGGTGCATCCGGCGGTGTGTACGCGTTGATTACTGCACACGTGGCGACTATCATAATGAATTGGTCGCAAATGGAATTCGCCGTCTTGCAGCTGTTAGTGTTCCTTGTTGTCACGAGTGTCGACATCGGCCAGGCTGTGTACAATCGTTATATTCTCGACACCAACGACCAAGTCGGTTACGTAGCCCATTTGGCAGGCGCTATAGCGGGGCTTCTAGTCGGCATAAACATTCTTCGAAATCTCGAGGTTCAAACTTGGGAGAAAATCGTTTGGTGGGTCAGCATGTTCACCTTTACAGGTCTCATGACCGCGGCTATCCTGTGGAATATATTGTATACCTCGTATTACGAATGATATTCCAAGTTTCGGTATTTATTGTGTTCGAGTTATTTGCGTTCTACGCATGTGGCTCGAATATATTATTATTAAAAGAGAGTAGAAAGAGAAACAAAACCTGCCTTGCCTATTGTATGTATATATTACACAAATTCATTATATATGTATAAAAATATATATATAAAATATATATATATTTTTATATTAATGTAAGAGATATTATGTAAAATAATATAAAAATTTAGAATAGATAGTATGTAGTATATTTTCATACGGACGTTATTATGCGCGCGCAAAAGAATGAGACATGAATTCGCAATTCGGTATTAATTGCTATATATTTGTACGCGTGTATTACATTGTTCAGCAAAAATACTTGCACGAGACTAGCCGTTTCTTATAGTTTTTTGGATGCTAAACACGTACTTGTAAATTGTTCCATCACGTCACTATTTTAAGAAATTGCAATTAAAGTTGCAAAAAGGGCTATTTTTACTTTCAATAGGAATTTTTGGTGGGTTGAAAGTCCTAACAATATACTTTATTTTGATGGCAAGAAAACTTTTTTAAGCGCCACATATTATAGCTATAATATGATAAAGTTCGTGAAAATAGCCGTTTTTTGCAACTTTAAAAATTTCTCACAATATAACGTAATGGAATAATTTGGAAGTCAGATTTGCGTCGAAAAAACTATAAAAAACGACTAATCTCTTGCTGCTATTTGAAAAAATTATTTTTTGTTGAACAGTGTTATTATTAACACACAATACAATATTTTTTAAACACATTTTCGAGAGCAAATTGTAAAACATTGTATTCTGTGATACTTTTGCTATACATGTGTTAGCAACAAGAATAGATGTGCATACAATTATTCATAAATTAATTGAATAATCATATCAAAACTAGGCGCGAAAATTCATATTTCTGTTTCAAAGCTTGTCTCAGTGTTTGAAAATACATGAAGAAAAACTACCTCCAACAATATATTATAATAATTATTGCATAAAACGTCATCTAATTTTTTAATATTTTATACATCATATAAGCTACATATTAGATATTTTCAATTATTTGTTCAATATAAAACTTAATAATCTGCACAAATTACAGTGTTGAATTACCAAATAATATATTTTTTCATGTAAACCATACATATATACAATAATTTTGTACAATTATACAATACACACACACACACGCACATATATAAAGAAATACATATATAAAGAAATTATTATTGATATTTTCTTTTAAAATTTGAAAATGTCTTATATATTAATAATTCAGATAAAACTATCATAAAAAGTTATTTTACGAGTTTATTAGGTAAACGGAATATGTATAATTCAAATAATATCCATATGCTCTGATTTAAATTAATTGAGATATTATCTCCTTATAAGATAAAATATATACATTATAAAAAAGGGCAATATGTAAATGCATTGTTTCATTTCTAGATAGATATAAATATTGTTGTTAATATAATTATTTGAAAACAAAATGCAATATAAAACTGCCTTCATTCCATTAACAATGTTCAACAATTCCAAAACAACCTTCATGAAAACTAACAAAAATTCTATTAAATCTTTGTTTAGATTGTGACTATATGACTATATAAGCATAGAAACATATGGGAGGAAACATTTTTTTAAATGATTCTGAGATTTATGAATATTATTGTACTATAATTGTACACACAGGATTTATATTTGGTTTCAAGATAAAAGCAGATATAATAATTTATTAAACAAATACCATTTTAAATATATAATATAAGAAGTTTAAAAAGAGTAAATCCTCTGTGTTCAAACTATTAACTATAATGCTATTTGTAAATGCTCAATGTAAGAACAATGTACTGTATTTTCGATTAGACTGATAAGAGACAAGAATTTTATTCTTATTCATCTATCCATTTGAACAAAGGATATATCTTTATGAATATCTCAGAGTTTAGAAACTGTTAACTATACTTAGTCTTAATTTATCTTAATTGTTTAATGGAATGATTATTGCGCAGACACTTGAGTTGGCAACTGTAATGTATATGTAACTTCCAATGAAGTGTCTCATTTTAAATGAATTCTCAACATTTTGTTTTTAATTTTAGAAAAAATATTTCACACAAAAAGTTATACAGTCTGGAAGGGAGCAAGTAATGAAATAAGATTAATTTTCGAAAATCAATTTTTTAGTCATGTAAAAGTCACTTTATTTCTTAAATGAGATGCCTTATTTTTGACAGCGGATATTTGCAGTTAATGGTAAAACATTTCCAAAAATCTATTGCCTCAATTTTTATTAAGAATTTGCATCGTGAATTTTTCAATATTAAAATTACACCATTTTTCAAAAATTGATTTTATCATTATTTGTTTCTCTCCAGACTATATAATCTTTGTCTGAAACAGTTTTTTCTCAAATTGAATTTAATTTGGAAAGTGATAAGTAAAGACAGCTATTATAAGTGTAAAATGCTTTTTTCGTTTTTTACTGTGGATATCACTTAGTATTGGCTTAAATATAATATTTATGGTAAGATTCCTATGAACACAAATGGGTTTCTTAAAGATACAATCTTAGATGTAAGCTAGTATATTTATAAAGTTTTATCTATTTCTCATTTAAATATATATATTTCAATGGACTTGTATCATTTTTCATATATAATAATAAGTGCCTTGTGAACGTACTCTTTATTGTACAATACGTACTTTTAATAGATAAGACGAGTGAGTTTTGACCACGAAAAACGTAAATATTCCTATTTTATATGTTAACTAAATAGTTTAATAAGTTTATATATATATATATATATATAGATTTATATAATATTTTTCATAATAGATTTCAACGGAAATCTTTACATTTATTATACAACGAAGCGATGAAAATATTCATAACGCATATATGTATATTTTGTATGTTGTTATACAAACCGAATAAAATGATAAAGTAATCAATTTGATAATTATGTAGTAATAAGTTTTTATTCAAAATACGACAAAATATTATTATATATTTTAAAACTCATGCCATATACACAAATACATTTCCATTCGTAGGAAATATAAAGTATGTAATTATTTTTAATTAAACTCACAATTGTCACAAAATCACAAAAAAGTTAACGATCTCGAAATGTGATTTGAAATTGATGCGCTACTTCTTCGCAAAATTAAGACACATTATTATTTCTTAATTTCATTTCTCTCTTCGCAAAATATAATTTATTAACTTAGATGAATTATCGAGAGTACTAAAAAACGCATATTTTACTACACGTCAATCGCATCACTTATACTAATATGTACTATTTATTTGTAAATTAAATATAAAAATTGATAGACACATTTATAAATTAAATATAAAAATTGATAGACACATTTGTAAATTAAATATAAAAATTGATAGACACATTTGTAAATTAAATATAAACATTGATAGACACATTTGTAAATTAAGTATAAAAATTGATAGACACTTTTCTCGCGGATTCGGGCCTGTGAATATATATAATCTTAGAAATAATATAATAAAGTGCTTTAAATAATCTAGAAACGCAGATGCAAAAAAGAAAATAAACACATACGTAGAATAACAAAATAATGCAATCTATATTTATTACAAAAATTCTAGAAAAATTGATTTCAAAATATATAAATATAGATAAAAAATTCCCTTTTTCCTCGCAAAAAAAATTTATATTTTGCAATCAATTATAAAAAATGTATTTAGAATTACATATAATTAGAACATAAGCGTAGCACTATCCGATTTCTTCTCTAAAATTGTATATTATTTTTCGAAAGAGGTGACAATAAAAAAATACTCGTTATTATAACGGAGGTGATTTTTATTTCAACAAAAATAACAATTTACATTGAACTGTTTTGATAATAATATTATCGTGTATGCTACATCTGTAGTTTTTACTGTAGGCGTGGTATGCTCTCGCTCGCTATAATTAATTTTCAGTTACTTTGTTTTTTTTTTCATTAATTAATCGCATTAACAGAGCGTGTGTTCGTGGATAATAATCACGTTTTTGTTAGATAGAGTGTTTCGCTTCTTTTTCTCGTCTTTCTTTTCTTCCTTTTTTTTCTTTTTTTTATTCCTTTAGCTCTTAGACGTTTCGCGATCGCGCCATATGCATTCATTATCATTATTGATGTTATTATTATTATTTTTTTTATTATTATTAATATTATTATGATACAACAATTGGGAGGGAGCTGTGTGTGTACCTCGGCGTTATCATATTACTATATACAGACTTCGTCTTCTTCCGCGTACGTCGTAAAAGGGATCGAACGATGGACACACCGAACAAATTAATCGATCGTTTTTCCTCAACGTGTCACAAAGTGAGGGTGTATAGGTACATATACACGCGACAATTTTCGCGCTTCTACGTCGCCTAAAACTTTAGTCTAGATGATAGCGCGGTAGCTACAACGATAAAGTTCGCTTTCGTCCTTTCATTTGCTACGAAAAACGCGTCTTGCTCTTTCTCTCTCTTTGCTCCTTTTTAAGAAAAACATCATCAAAGCGTCTCTTTTTTATTATTATATAATATCGAAAATTGCTCACGACGCGCACCAGCTGATTTCTTCCAAGTATCACAAATGCGATCAAAGATTCCTTTTTCAAACATTCGAGGAAATTGATCTAAATTTTCCGATTAAATAAGATTTTAATTACATTCATAATTATATTTATATATTTTGAAAATATATATATAATATGTTTGTATACACATATTTTAATTCCCCGAATCAGTAAGAGCCAGACACAGATATGGTAATATGTAAGAGTTTTATGAAAAAAAAAAAAGTAATTTTTTTAAAATTAATAGCGAATTTGGTTAGATGCATTAATGTACACTAATTAAGAGCTATATAAAATAATAGCATAAGTAATTAAAACAGACAATTGTTATTAAAATAGCGAATATCAGAAAAATATCAGAACAAAATTCAACGAAATTCTTTTTCAGTAATTTTGACTCGATTTTTTTCTTAATTTGTGCTTTTTTAAAAAGGAGTTAGTTAAAAATACATCTAGAAATGAGATTAATTTTATTAGTCACTTGGTATCGCTCTAAGAAAAATTTGTGCACAATTCTATTTAATTGCAAGAAAAAATATTTCTGGAAACTTACGCACTATCATCCCATTCTGAGTCTGGTCCAAATTAAAATTATTTTTTCACACGAGAATATAGTATTAATTTCATTACTTAATACTTTTAAATATTATAAATATATTGCAATTTATTATATATATATATATATATATATATATCAATTATTATATATATATATATAAATAAAATAATAGATTATATATATAATACACATATGACAGTAATTGAATACTAAATATATATGCAGTTTTTAAAATATTGGTTTCAAGGATAATATTGATACCTTTTTTTAAATAAAATTTACTTTTCGATTAATTATAGAATTTCCTCAAACGCTCGATAGAGCAGATTATAGGTCGCCATACATTCCTTTGGACGTTCCCTTTTTCCTCAGTTATCTCTTGGATTCGCAAAAGAGAGTGAAAGAGAAAGGCAGAGCGACAGAGTTTATTGAGAAACGTGAAAAAATTGCCGGCGCAGAAATCGACCCGACAAAAGATCCGACATCTCGAAAATCTTTCTCTTCTCTCTCTCTCTCTCTCTTTATATATATGTGTGTGTATATACCAACAAAAAGGAGTTCGGTATACATGTCATATATCATATGTACACGCCGATTTTTTCTCTCTCTTTCCAAGCGAAACTTGTCATCCCTCTGTGTATATATGTAATTACGTGTAGGGTGTATTATTCGCACTTTATATAAACACGTAAACCTGTCTTATACGCATGTTGCCCCTGTTAAGGTCGAAGGCTATCTCGAAGAGGAAATCGCATCCAAAGTGATGCGGCTCCAAAATTTGGCATTACAAACGAGATAATGTATAACATAAATACGCGAGAAACAATAGATTTTTATTATATAAAATGCATTCCACAAATGTTTGAAAATTGTCTACTCTTAGAATCCTTTCGGATGCGGTTTCCATTGAAGTTCCTGAATTAAACTGGACTGGACTGGAACTCGCATCACCTCTTCGGGGTGCAAATCGCTGAACGAGAACGCATCATCTTTCTTGTGTGTGTATGTAAATTGTGTGTCGCTCAGGTACTATACGAGAAGGAGAAGAAACGTGACACGCCGAGGACATATTCCTCTAAACAAGAAGTACGAAGATCGAGTCACATCCGGCTTGTCTTGTCAAATTGTTGCGAATGTTACATGTCTCAGGCTAACTAGATTAATTCGCCATTCTGTAATGTGTATGTGTGTATGTTATGTGTGTACGTATCTGATCTCTATCCATCTTCACTTATATACTCTGGAAGCATTCGACAATTTTGGGACCTCGGGCATTATTTTATACAATGAAGGTAAATCCTCATAAAGATGCGCGTCTTCGTGACACGATGCTGTGTTCTGCGAATGAAGACCCGCCGATTCGATCGGCTTCTCATGCAAGAGACAAAAAGAATCGGCGTGCTTGCGTGTCACGAGCTCCCCTTTTTGTTAAAGGCAAAAGGAGAGGAAAAGAGAAAGAAAAGAGAGGCGAGAGAATATTTAAAAAAATGATAATAATCTATAATAACAGAGAATATATATGTACGCTCGTTGTACGGTCGAGGATGCGAGTAAGGAAAGCGAGTGAGAGATATGAGAGTGAGAAATGATCGCCCGATCGCCGGCGTACGAACAATGAGGAGGCAGTCGTCTTTGTACAGTGAATCTCTGTAGAGTCTTGGTATCTCAGTCGCCGCGCGAAACAATGCAGAATATATATTTATATGCATATATTGTAATCGTGGCGGAATCCGGCAGAAGCGAATAACGCGTTAAAAAAATCATTTTTCGCGACAATTTTTTTTTCTTTTTGCGATGGGTCGCGATGACGAAGAAACAAAGGCGCGGATCGCAAGACGGTTGAAGCTACAAGTATAAAATTAGGCTGTATAAAAAATATGTAAATGTACGTATGCGTGTATTGCGTATGTGTGTGAGTGTGTGTGTGTTTATCTGTGTGTATTTTGTATGTGTACTCTGATAGTTAAAACGCATATACTCGGATGCACTTTTTTCGAAACACAGATGAAATAAATCTACATCCAATTTCGCTTTATGAATGATAATTCCATCAATTTTTAATTCGTCTGTAATATATGTATAATCTGTTTCGCTGTCGTTTATTAATAAGAGAACATAGTTCGGGAGGGAGTTCTTCCCCTAAAATCAGTTCGTGGCTGTTCTAAACCCCTAAATGCTAACTACGTCGATTTATCGCTAAACCTAAACTCCTTATACAATAGCATGAGTACGGATATAATCTAGCCATATTACTTGCTCAACTTAGAAATTAATATTATATACTATATACAACACTCTTATAATTATGATTTTTTTTCCGTTTTCTTAAATTCATCTCATCAAGAAGAAGAGAACGATCTCGAAAGTTGATTTCTCATCACTAAAAATTGATTCTCGATTCTCTCTGGCTTCGTAACCAGAATTATTACATTGTACGATTATCCTCTTTGAAAAAGTCAACATATTCTTCCATGCTTTCTTTCTCTTTTTCTTTCCTTCCTCCCCTCTCCTCCTTCTCTCTCATTCTTAGATCAGATTACACGCTACGCTTTGCACTGGTTTGTAACACAGTTGAACCTATTAATCCCAAATACATCACAGACTCATTCCAAATAAAAACACGCACGCCCTCATCAGCGTTGTATATCATTATCGCTTAACAATTACATATTACTTTTCATTTATGTACAAAAGAAGCGTCTGTATTGTGAACATGGGAAATATATACATATACATATATATGTTGTGTATGTATGTATATATTTATATATGTATACATATATGTATAGCCCTAGACGTTCCACAGATCGAATGCTTGCGCGCACATCAGCATCTTCTCACGCGGACTGACCAAGTCAAAGTAGAAAATAATATAATTCACCTCATCATATGACAAAAGCCTCGCGCACTCGGTATATTAGTACATACGCGAAATAAGAGTAGATCGAATATGAATCGATTTTCGTTTTCACTCTTTCTTTTTTCCTTTCTTTTCGCGGTACCAAACGCTTAAACGTTACATATACGCATTTGCAAGTATCGAAAAAACATAAAAAATGGAAAATACATATTATAGACGCACGTTATTTAACGATTATATATATATGTGTGTATGACGATCTTATTTTTTCTCCCTTCGACTATCGCGTTCGCCAAAAATTTTCCTGCTAAACTAAAATCCATGTATATAATCGCGAGAATTAAAAAAGAAAACGGGCCCATTAAGATCACGACGATAAAATGTAACCTGTTCACGTTGACACAATATATATTTATTTATACATATTTAGTATTCGGCATTATAAATTATATTATATATATGTGTGTGTTTGTGTTAAGTATGTATATATGTATGCACATATGGCACATATATATATATACATATATAAATATACATATATCGCGATAATAACTAATTAGTGGATAAAACTATTCGTCACCATATGTTCAACTGAAAGCCAGCGCAACACCATGAGAAGGCAGGAAAAAAAAAGGTATTTTCGTCTTGTAAATGTGTGTGTTCGCTTCTCTTTGCATAACGCGGGAATGATTTCCGACTAAAAATACAATGAAAATTACAAAGAGTTGATAAAATAACAACATATATATACACATATACGCGATTTCATTTAAAACATCATACTTGTTATCTGCATTTGCCTCGTTGGAGATCGCGATTTCTCTCGATAAATATACATGTATATAAATATATATACACATATTCATATATACATATATATATATTTATATGTATGTATTTATATATACACATATGAATACATATTTTATATATATGCGTATATATAAAAAAGAAGTCTCTTAATTTAGATTAGGATTTGGCGATCGATATAAGAGAACGCAGTGCGGCTTTCGTGAATTAAAGCCTTGAAAAGCGTCGTTAAATCGTCCAATATAATCAATCATCGTTCAACCGACGATCACCTATGACCTATATGATTATCCTAGGAAACGTGTATGTTATTTGCATCTCTGCGTTAGTAAATCCGTAATAATCAACGTGCTAGCGCGTGCCGCTGCTAACGTAAAGTCTAGATATAGAGCGCTGAGCGGTTAGACAGAGAAAATTATCAATCCTCGTCCGAGAGCGGCTCGTATTGCGCCGACATCAGGGGCGCTGGCTCGGCCTGCATCTGTTCCGACTTGCTCACGGAGACGGATGTAGCGGAGGCGGGTGGCGGGGCCGGCGGTGGACCGGTGTGAACTCCTAAAGCGCTGAACGGATAAAAGGTGGTGGCTGCAGGGGCTGGTGGCGGCTGTTCGCGGGTAGGTGGACCACCCGCCTCGTCGATCACCAACTCGCCACCGCCGCCACTTCCAGCTCCGCTGCCGCCGCCACCTGGACTTCTATCAACGTTCCCCGAACCCTTCTCGTCTTTCTCGGTCGCGACAACCGAGGTGTTGCCGCCTCCGTTTCTGTCAGAGCCCGCGGTGTCGCCGCCGCCGCCGCCACCGCCGCCAGCCTTGTCGTCCTCGGTGCGCATCACCTCGACAATCTTGTTCTTCACGTAATCAAACGGCGATAGATGCGACTTGTTGGAGGGAGTTCCGGAAGTGGATGTGGCAGTGCTCGGTTCGTAAAAGCGACGTCCGTAGTGATTCGCGGTCGTCTCCGGTGGGGAGACTGGCTCGACCGAATGGTATTGTTGCTTTCCCGATGACTGATGCTGCTGTTGCGTCTGCTGCTGTTGCTGCTGCTGCGCGACGCGTATTATCTGACGCTCGTCCCCGGTCTTCACCGAGTCTGGCTCGTTGTGTTTCCGTCTTTTCCATTGATCATCGGAGATTGGATATCTGTCGTTTCGAAGAGAAGTTTCGCGTTATTCATTTAATATATTTTCCGACAAATAATAATTAAAAAAAAAAGCTTTTTCTTTTTTTGCAAGAATAAAAATTATAGATTTGAATTTTTAGCATCTTGTCTAGAAAATTGAGTTAAATAAACCGGTTGCTCTGAACGGAAGCTTACGGGTAAGGTCTATATGACGAGTGAGGTGGGCCGTAATCTTTAGATATAATGTGCTCGACATGCTCGCCGAGAGTCATCGCTTTACTGCAGCCACTTCCGTTGCCGCTTGCTCCACCCCCGCTCCCTTCACTGGCGGGACTATGGGCTATGCCGTTAGGTTCTTGCGGAGGATCGCGATGCAAACCCTAAGAAAAAAAAACGCGAGAAAAATGAGATTGCGATGAAATAAATTGGAGAAAAAAAGAAGAGAGACGTTCATCCATACCTGGAAAAGACGATCGCCAGCACGCGTCGGCTGATTGCTCGAAGAACTTCCACTAGCACTATCAACGCCCTGATTGATTTGATGCGTTATGATAGCGTCTATTAGACTGGCGGCTGTAAGGGTCGACGACGAATCGTTCTGTTGACTGGAGGACTGACTCTGACGCAATGATTGTTGCTGCTGCTGCTGCTGCTGCTGAGATTGTTGAGACTGAATTCGAGAGGACTGCGAGAATCCGCTGCTCAACAGTCTCGACGAATCTCGCTCCAGCTGCTGGTCTCTGAATATCTGTGCGGCTATGTGTCTTCTTTCGAGTTCTAAACGTTGCTGCTGAATGTGTTGCTGAATGTGTTGAGCTTGCTGTATTTGCACCATCTCTCGCTCACGTTCCCGCGCTTGTTGCGCGGCCAGACGACGCTCGACATGCTGCTGGATCTCTTTTTCACGTTGTTGCTGCATGGCAAGTCTCTGTTCTTGATGCTGTAGCTCTTTCTCGCGCTGATGCACGGCCAATCGGTGCTGCTCGTGCTCCTTCTCGCGTTGCGCCGCCGCCATTTGTTGCTGGATCTCCTTCTCTCGTTGATGTATGAGTCGGTGCTCGTGCTGGATATCCTTTTCTCGAATCTGAAGACGAGTATGTTCGTGCATATCCTTTTCTCGGTGCTGCGCGAGACGGTGTTCCTGCTGCTGAAACTCCTTCTCACGGTGCTGATGATGCTGCTGCACCGCAAGACGATGTTCAAACTGCTGCAATTCCTTCTCGCGATGCAGACGATGCTCCTCCTTCTCTCGCAAATGAACGATATCGCGTTCCCTCTCCCGCTCGCGTTGATGCTGCGCGAGTCTATGCTCGGCGGCCATACGATGTTCCTGTAGCCGTATCTCTTGTTCATGAAACGCGCGATTATTATCATAGCGATCAGCCAATAGACGATCTGCCATAGTTTTACCAAGACCCTCGTGACCACCACCGCCCGACGCAGCCGGATGACTGTGTGGATGCGGCACTGGCAGAGTAGGCTGCTTAATCGCCACCTCAACCAAGTTGTTTAGTGCATCATGTTGCTGCTGTGGCGGATAATGCATCTGCTTCTGCGGATTGTGCCTTTGAATAACACCCTGTCGCGGCTGCGTATGCGTCTGAGGAGGTGGAGGCGGTGTGCTGGCGTAATAGAGAGTCGACGATGGTGGTGGTGGTGGTGGAGGCTCGTTCTTACCTATCATCTCGCTGGTGACGGACGCGCCAGTGCTACTACCACCACGAGTGAGTTGATTCATTTGTTGACTGGTATAATAATCATTTATGATGATCTGTCTGGACATTTGCTGTTCCGTCGTGTAGTTGGGCGGTAGCCGGCCGGCAGTGGAATAAGAGTTATACTGATTACCACTGTGGCTCACCACCACCGCCGATGATGTCGCTTGACTCGCGTGACCCTGTCCTGGAGGTGGTGGCAGTACGTTGCCGGTACCCGTGACGGGCGAGTGTCGAATGGTACCTCGATGATAGTCGTAAACGGATGTGCCGCGTTTATCCACTGCAAACGGAAGTACGGGTGTACCCTGAGTAATCGAGCCCCCGCCGCTCTCTTTCGGCGGACCCGGACCGGTAGAGCTGGCGTTGATGGAGCCGCTGCGTTCGCTGACGTTTGCGGCGCTTACCGGCGGATTGCCAGGCGGCGTCATTTGCCGCAGCAGACCCTCGTAACGCGCCGTGGACACAGGCGTGCCATGCGTAATGGAGCCACCCTTGTGCCCCGGCGTGCCCATGCTGCCGAGTTTCGGCGACAGCTTGGGATGAGATTGCGGCACGGATGGCACTTTGTTCATCTTCGGTGTGATGGACGCCTGCGGTCGGCCTGGCGTCGGAGCGTAGACCAGCGGACTCTTCGCGTTGCGTCCCTGCTCAAGATGAGGCGTGGTGTGAGGATGATAGTACGCTCCAGGCGGCGGTTCTGGTCGATAGAGAGCGATCGTCGGCTTGTGAATTTGAAGCGAATGATTGTAATCCTGTTGCAATCGGGGTTTTTTGATACTCAAGTCAAGCGTGCCTTCCGTTTCTCGAAGCGCTTGCTGCACTTGCATGACAACCAAGCCTTCCTTAGGTAGCATATCCGATTGACTACTGGTGGGCACACCGGGTATGCAGGGAGTAATAGTAGCTTGCATCTGACCTAAAGCGGAGGAAGATAAATTATAAATTTTTTTTTAAATAAATCCTAAATAATGCGTTCGCAGAAGATAAAAGAATGAATCGAATATTTGCAGCAAAATTTATTATACTTCATAAATGTAACATCACATATTTAAAGCGCCTTTCAAAAATAGACCAGGTTTTATCTTAAACATTTTGTATAAGAATGTTGAATATACATATAAGAAATAACGATAAGAGATAAAAGTATTGATAAATTTACCGATTTGCTGTGGACTAGGAGCAGATCGATGGCCATGATGAGGTCCCGAAACAACAGAAAGTGTTGCCAGATTTGAATCTCTGTTGGACAACGCTGTGTTTGTCATACTCGAGGATGGTTTATAACCGCGAACGTACGTTATGTCATTGCGATGATCTGTTTTCAAAATACTGGATATCGTCGGTGTACCGCCGGAACTATTAGGCGCGGACGAGCCGCCATCGGCCGGACTATTGGGAGTGCGTTTTAATGACGTCTCGATGACGCTTAGCATGAGATCCTTTACGGTAATCGGATTTGAATTACTCGTTGTTGAAGGAGGCGAATGTGCTGTGACAGATGATGGCTGTTGTTGATATTGACTCTGTTGTTGGCTCTGCTGTTGCAACGACGCTGCATTGCCGCTGGCGGTTGTCATAGTCACCACAACACTGCCATTATCTAAGTCAGCACCTCCCTGACCTTCGTCCGCTGTCTCCTGAAACAATTAGCGCACCTCTATCAGACGGTCCTATCGTACAAAAATATTATTTTATAATTTGTTTTTTAATTACTTCAGACTGTTCAAACATCAATAAGATTAACGCGTATATATTTAAAGTATTATTGAAAAATATTTTAATAAATATCTTTACAGTGTCGATAATTAATTAAAAGTTGGCATTATTAATAATGTTTGTAATTCAAAATGTTGTAATACAAAATGTACCATGTACAGATATTATAGGATTAAATGTCTAGTGACATAGACATAAGACTTGAAAAAACTGCGATGGCTGCAAGATGTTTTTGTATCATCTATATATAATAAGATAAATTATAAAATTTAGAGAAAAAAGTTTCGTCTTACCGTGGCAGAACTGTCATAATCCTCTCTAGCACCACCGGATGTAGCGGCAGCGCCTCCGCTGCTGGAAGACTGATGAGACGATCCGGCAGGCGGAACAAGTGATACCACAGCTACGTCCGCCAGTTTGTCGCCCAGTTTTTCCAACGATCCAAGCTCGCCAGGACGCTGAAAAGACAACGATGATGTCGTTGCAGAGCCACCGCTCGGTATCACTGACGCGTTACTACCCGTCATGGTGGTCGCTGGACTTCCTGCACTGGCTGTGTCACTCGAATCGTGAACCTGGCGAAAGAGAAAGATAAAATAAAGAAGAGAAAAAGAAAACACATCAAACATAGATAAACTGAAACAATTGTAAAAACACTTACGGCTAGTTCGTCGCAACTACTAGTGCTACTTCCGCTCTCCTCCTCGTCGGTCACGTACGGTGGCCTCCGTTCCTCGCCTAACAACGTGTAATGCTCGCTGACAACTTGATCGAAACTAAATTTCTTTCGGTAAGCGAAATAGTAGCTCTTGCACTGCTGACTCGTTTTGCCGGGTATTTGTTCAGCGATCTTCGGCCAATTGGTACCATATTCTCGAAGCGCTTTGCGGAGCAGATCCAGTTCCTCGTCCGTCCACTGGCGCGCATCGGTACCATCTTCGGAGGCTTCGGTACCACCGGTAAGATGTGGCGCCAATCGGCGCGATATACGACTGAAGCAAGCCGAGCAGCATTTCGTCGCATTATTTGGTATTTCTGGAAAAAACAATACAATACATTAATTATAAAGTATATATGCATGTAAAAAAATATAAATTAACTAGCATTTTTTCTTAATTTTATGATATACATAAAATGGATCGCAAACAAGACCTATAAAATATAAACGTGTCTTTAATAATAAATGTATAATGAAATACTTATTAATTAATAATGTAATAATTAATGCAACACAAATTTATAGATAAACTTGAGTAATCAATTTACACTATAAATATCTGAATCAAATATCGTAACAAGCATCTGTTTATGCATACATGTATCTGTTTATACAGAAATATAAAAATGATAAACCACAAAAAAAATGATACAAAAGATAAACGTGTTTTTAACAATAACTATATAATAAAATACTTATTAAATAATAATATAATAATCAATGCAACACAAATTTATAGATATTAAAATTGAGTAATCAATTTACACTACAAATATCTTAATAAAATATCGCAATAAGCATCCGCGTATGTTTATATATAAATATAAAAATGATTGGTGCAAATCTAAACACACTCACGGAATTCTTGAGCGATCGGCTCGCGGATCTCCAGCGGTAAATCGAGCCATTTGGAGGGCAACGCTCTCAGCCGTTTTATCCTGGACTTGGAGCTGTTTAAATTCGGACATCCGGGTAACGGGCAGGTGGTGTAACGTCCTCGTACGGCCTTGCACCTGCAGGTGTTGCAGACGCGCGCGCCAGCTGGCACCTGATCCTCCCGCAGACCGTATTGCGAGGCCTGGCTGCGCGGTAAAGCGCGACTGTGGGCGCTACCCTCGACGACGCTTTGACACACCGTGCAGGCGTGAGGTCCTATCTGTCTGCCGCTCTCTGAAATAATGATAATTCACAAAAATTATAGAAACAGTAATAATATACAAAGTTTGCGCGCAGTAAAATTAGACAAAAATTTCGACTTAAAGAGATTTTAAAGAAAGGCAGCGTTTATAGAGGATTCTCTTAATAAATTATTAGATTTTTCATTAAATATATTATTAAATTATTATATTATTAAATTTTTAGATCTTTAATTAAATACATTATACAAGCTGTCCCGGAATTAGAGGATCACCTGTTATAATGGTATAGATTTCTGGGATCATTAGGAGATTATTTCTCCTCGAGGGAGGTCATCATTTTTTGCATGTTCCCAATTTTTGCCATCATGTATCTTTGTAATTAAGTCTTAAATTAAAATTCTATTAAAATAAGCTGTACTTGAAATTAATTAAAGAATGTGGTTTTGTTAACATTTTACTTTCAATAGCTTTAAACTCATTTTTGCCGAGGAAAAATTGTCTCCAAATGATCCTAGGAATCTGCCATTAACTAGAATAGAATTTATTAAGGAAACTTGAGGCAAGAATGGTAGTTTAGATATTTAATTTTTCGAGCTAACAATAAAATTATCATCATTTTGTTGAGACATTATAATTTTAATTAAAATATTTTATTATAATAAAAGATTTTATTATATTATAATTGTATTTCTTTGTGACTAAAGAATCAAATTTAATTACTCGATTTTTAATAAGTCAAAGATATTGCGAGGCAACTTTAAATAATAAAAAGAAGAGATAAAATTGGAAATGGATTAAATCGATAAAATTGCAATCAATGGATGCTTTCGCGCAACACAGAAACACAGTCATATACCGTGTGACATAATGTAACACAGTATCGCTTCTGTACATACATTGTTGGAGAAAGTAATTACTCGTAATTCGCTTTCTCCAAATGTAGAAGTAAAACAATTCCTCCAATGCTTCGAGTCGTTTCGCGCTGATAAAAATCAAATAAAAATAATAAAAGCCGGAGCGAGGCGAAAAACGCAGGTGTCGGCCGCACACACCGCGTGTGTTAGATTCTATCGTGCGTGTAATTGCGACATGATGCACACCGTCGCCAAAACGTCAAAGGGGTCGCCTATTGAAAACGATTCGACAACGCCAACGTGTCTGCGGTCCGCGTGAAATATAAATGCGCGAGATACATCACACCAGCGCATACTGATGATGCTCGATCACGTGGCATTTTGTGTAGGAGTCAGGGGGTTGAAACAAAATAAAATTTTGATAAAATTCGATGAATGAGTATATTCCTGTTAAAAAAAGCGGATATCTTTCTTTCGCTCCTTTAAATAATATTGAATTGAATATTTACAAGGTACTACTCCGTTAACACCAGATCAACGTTTAAGAATGGGATTTCCCCGGGGTCATTTGGAAACGAATTTTCCTCTACAAAAATATCGAGGTATCAAGAATTTTCGAGTTATAAGCAATTAAATATTAATTAAAATTTAATAGACTTTTAATTTAAGACTAACTCGACATTTTCTGAGGAAAAATGATTTCCAAATGATCCCAGGAATCTATCCTTAAACCTTGATCCGGTTTTTACACTCTGTATATTGGATTCAAAATGTGACTTCTTGAAGGAATATGATATCGACTTAATCGATAATAGAAAAAAATCTTATAATAATTAAATATAATAATAATTTAATGTATAATTTCTGGGGATATAAGCAATAACTTTAACCCTCAGTTATCTCTCTGGGTTACGTTAACCCATATCAAAAATTTAAACGTGTGTCATTTTGGAGATTTTAGAAGATCACATTTTTTCTCAAATATCTCGAGTCGTAGAAATCTGGTGACATTTGTACCGATATATTCTTTTTTCTTACTGTCTGGCGTATCGATTGAAAAAAAAAATACTACAAAACAGCTTCTTTAGATCCAGAAATATAAACAAAAAAAAGACTCTGGGTTACTCTAATCCATGAGTGGTAAAATAAGGTGGCCAAAAATGAGTGGTAACTGAGGGTTAATGATATGTTTAGTTAATGAATAAAAATGCTTAAGTGAAAAAGAATATGACGTTTCTCGGTATTTTGATTCTTGCGGGCCATTATTATGGTATTTGGATTCTAGTATAAAGTCGACATTTTCGGGGGCTTTAACTCGAGCGTCCATAAGCGACATTCGATAAAACGTGTTTGCGCGAAAATAAACGTACAACGTGGCGCGGTGGCTATTTAGAGAATATATACTCGCGTTTATCCGCTATGAAATTGAGTAAATATAGTTAATCACGGAGCCGCGGACGGAACTCGAGTATGAAAACACGGAACGACGGCGCATCGCGGATGAAGCGCAGGATGGTAAAAGGGGGGTGAGAGGGTGGAAATAAGGGGAGGAGGAGGAAGTTGGCGCAACGGAAACGGAGCGAGAGACAGTATAATTACTCGGGACTCTCGGCTATTTAAGGACGCCCAATTAAAAAGTTTTGCCGTTCGTTCTTAGCCTCGCGCAAACGTCGGCACCGCTCTCGCTCCTATAAGTAAGATCGCTTTGATAATTCCCACCCCCTCCCCCCTCCCTTCGTCTTTTTCGCGAAATTGCGTAAATTTATATTCGCCGGTCGACAATTATCGCGAGACGCGAAATCGCGCGCCCCTATATATATGTATAATAAAACTAGCAAACTAATAAACCGCAATTCCCTGCTCGGGTGGAAAAATAAATATGCAATATCTTCAGAGACAAGATATATAAATTATAATTAAAATTCAATCTTTTTTTTCCCCCCACGAAACTTATATAAAATATACCGCCACATTTGCGAGATAATTTTATTTCGCGAGAATTTAAACGCGAAAACGAACGGAGAGATATAACATTTGACGTTTGACGAGTGTTCTTAATAAGATGAAAATGTCACGATGGCCCCAAAGCTAATTTAATTCAGCGAAAATTTGGAATTAAACGATGGTCGCTTGGTGCTTCGCCAATTATTTGGCATACGGTACTCTTGGGTTCTCTCTCTCAAAACTCGTACATACATACATACATACATACATACATACATACATACATACATATATACATACATACATACATATATATATATATCGCGATAAATCGCGGATCCCGAATATTGCGCGTCCACTCTCCGGTGACCTGTCACACGAGCCGCGTCCCACGTGTCTTTCGGATTGTACGCGAGATTATTGTTGACACGGAATTACCAATGACACACCGTGCAACGATTGCCAAGAGCCCGTGCGAGCGAGAACGAGCATCTATCTACCTAATATGAATACCACCGCGCCAAATGGAAGAGGGTATAGGCAACAACCCCGTGCGAGAATATCCGCGACACTGATTGGCAGGTATTCCCGTGAGCGAGAGAAAATCGCTCTCGTAATTCGCACTCGCCCCTATAACTCCCTCCTTCTCCCTCATCGACAGGCCGAAATATCCCTAAAGTAGAATACTGCGTTGCAAATTTTTGACCACCGAATTCTCTCTCTCTTCAAGTATCCCAGATTCCTCATCGCTCGATATTGTTTAATGTTCAATCTGGACGTGCGGGCGTCCGCAGGATTTTTTCCAGGAAGGGACATGATTAAGATGTTTTTTGTTTCTTATTATTATTCTTTCTTAATTTTTTAATTATTTGGTTATTTTAATGGTTTTATATTCAATACAATTGTGAATAAATTTCAATTTATTCACGAGAGTAAATGCTTAATTTTATTTACCGATTCCAAGGGAGATAAATATACTCCTTCAATATGTAATGCGATTTTGTTATGTGATCAAAATTTTTTTATTTCTTATTATTGATCTTTCTTAATTTTTAATTATTTTATTTTAATATTTTTATATTCAATAAAATTGCGAATAAATTCCAGTTTATTCACGAGAGCAAATGCTTGATTCTTCTTTTACTGATTCCAAGGGGAGCAAATGCCCTCCTCATATATGTAACGCAATTTTATCTTGCTCTAGATTACAGATCAATCTAATATATTCGCAGTAATTTTTTTATTTAATTAATCCAACGTATTGCATATTTTATATACCGACACATATTAATAACGCTGCTGAGTCCAGTCGTTTCTCTTCTACGTTTAGGGCTTTTCAATTTTGAGAGAAAAATGTTCAAGACAAAGAAAATTGAGATTCTTCATCTTGCATATTATTCTTATGAATTCATACAATTTTACATTATAAAAGGATTTTTTATATTTTTTTTCTTGTACGTTTGCATTCTCTCTTTTTAATGACCATATCCTCAACAATTTAAATGAGATTTCTCTTCGAGTTTCGTTCGAACTCGTCTCGCCAAAAGCATGGAGAGCACCTGGATGTCGACCTAAAGTACAAAGCGAATACAATATATCCGTGGAATAACGCGATAACGCGCGTGTCACGTGGAATAATTCGTATAAAGCTCGTTCCCCATACACTCAAAGTAATACGCTATACCGGGGGTGGAAGGAGGGTGAGAGACCAGACCGGGGCGGGTAAAGGAGAGGTTAAAACTGGATGAAACGCGTAATGAATAACTTATACAAGAGCCCATTCAATAGAGAACCCATGCGCAGTTACGCGATATTGCAGTCGGCCGATGGGTTAAAACGAGTTAACTCACCATCGGCAAGGGGTAGTTTTCGCCTAAATTAACTTCGAGATGCAAAGTCTTGCGCGCGTTTACAATTTAAGATTTTAATCATCGGAAGATCAGATTTTTTATGGAATTTCTACAACGATTTAACCCTTTGACAGATATCAACTGACAGGTGTCAATTGAAAAGTCGATTGGATTATTTCTCTACTTATATTGATGTTAAATAGCCATAAGTATAGGGGAGGAGTGAGTTAATTAATTAAGAGTCAAGCGCGATAAATAAATTATCTGTTCTTGTTAAATATTATTTATTTTGTACGTTTCGATCCTAATTTCGGATCATCTTTGATAACTGACAAATGTAGATAAAATAAATTTTATAAAACGTGAATTATGGATTTCGCAAG